TAACAACGCTAAATGATACATTATTTTAATAACGCAACTGTGTTTGGTGCGTAATATTTTCTTTCTTTTTCGGAAAATGAAATCGTCTTAATTTAAATATGCTGTTATAAATATTTTGTTTAAAAGTGGTTGGGACATCAGAATATTTAAGGTAGTTCATGGGCGTGAAATAAAAAGTGTGCAGTGACGTATCATGGGGGGAAGGGGTGTAGCAAAAATCGGGATTCTTAAATGTGCGTTACCTTGAGTTCTTTTTTTTTTTTTTTTGTCAAGCAACTTAAGTAGATGTGAAGTTCACGCATTGCTGTCGCCAATGTTTGGCGAGCTAGAACTAGTTTATTATAATGTTCAATGTATGCATCTTATCATCAAATGCACACCTCTGTCCCGAATTCTACCACCTAAATATAGTTGATAAATGATGTCCTCTTGAAACAATGTCTTATTGGAAAATAACTTTTTGATATGGATAATGTTACACGTTACAATGTGTATATTATGTAATAATTTTTTTTTTTCAAAATTGTTAATGTGCAGACAAAACACTTCACTTTTTATGTGTTCATGTTAATAACCTGACATCACTTTAAACTTCATACAGATTTTTTATTGCTTCGTCCTAAATCGTCTCATGCAGCGTAGTTCTACTTATATACGTAGGATGGGCAGGCCGCCGTAAAGGCCCGAGAGAATCTTTTACTAAGTACACGTTCAAACGGAAATATGCACTCACGAAGATTCCAGCCGAAAAGGATTTGACATGCAGGGGCGGTCTCAGCCTCGTTGCAACTCTTCCACAGACCGTAGCCAATGAGATTAGAGGATGTGTAGCCATTTCCCCAAGAGGCGGTTGTGAAGGATATCCAGGCCAGTACGAAACTAACAATCAGGATGCATGCAACTATCTGAGGATGAATTAAAATTTAGTTTTTACTATCAGGATGTGTGCAACTGTCTGAGGATATATTTAGTTTTTTTAATAATTGTAAAAAATAAAATGTAAAATATTCATGAATTTATTTTGCGTTATAAGATAGCGCGATATATTCTGAGAAACAATGGTGCAGACTAAAATCCATTTTAGAAATATACGAAATATAAAGGAGACATGGGAGCCTATAGTGGACATGGGAGCTTATAGTGCATATGGGGGCATATAGCTGACATAGTGGTATATAGTGGACATGGGAGCCTATAGTGCATATGGGGGCATATAGCTGACATGGTGGTCTATAGTGGACATGGGAGCCTATAGTGGACATGGAAGCCTATAGTAAACATGGGAGCCTATAATGGACATGGGGGTCTTTAGCGGACATGGGGTTCTAAAGGGGACATTTGAATCAAACAACTTCTAAACCAGCGGTTCTGAACGTGTGGGTCATAACCCCTTTGGGGTTCGAACGACCCTTTCCAAATGGTCGCCGAAGACCATCGGAAAACACATATGTTCTACAGTTATGAACTAGCAACGAAATTAATTTTGTGGTTGGGGGTCGCCACAACAAGAGGAACTGTATTAAAGGGTCACGGCATTGGGAAGGTTGAGAACCACTGATCTAAAGAACATTTTCTTTTTAATTTGAAAAGGCTGAAAGTTAGATTACAATAAGTTACAATGATGCAGTCTTAACTATGGTACAAATGAATAAAATGAACACAGTAATGGCGTGATATGTAACAGTAACATTTACACGTACATTCTGCATCAATTACATTGAAACTTACATTCTGTAACAGTAACATCGAAACTTACATTCTATAACAGTAACATTGAAACTCACATGCTGTAACAGTAACATTGAAACTCACATGCTGTAACAGTAACATTGACATGTACATTTTGTAACAGTAACATTGAAACTCACATTCTGTAACAGTAACATTGAAATTTACATTCTGTAACAGTAACATTGAAACTTACATTCTGTAACAGTAACATTGAAACTTACATTCTGTAACAGTTACATTGAAACTTACATTCTGTAACAGTTACATTTAAACTTACATTCTGTAACAGTAACATTGACACGTACATTGTGTAACAGTAACATTGAAATTTACATTCTGTAACAGTAACATTGAAATTTACATTCTGTAACAGTAACATTGAAACTTACATTCTGTAACAGTTACATTGAAACTTACATTCTGTAACAGTTACATTGAAACTTACATTCTGTTACAGTAACATTAAAACTCACATTCTGTAACAGTAACATTGAAACTCACATTCTGTAACAGTAACATTGAAACTTACATTCTGTAACAGTTACATTTAAACTTATATTCTGTAACAGTAAATTGAAATGTATATTCTGTAACAGTTACATTGAAACTTACATTCTGTAAAAGTAACATTGAAACTTACATTCTGTAACTGTAACATTGACACGTACATTCTGTAACAGTAACATTGACACGTACATTCTGTAACAGTAACATTGAAATTTACATTCTGTAACAGTAACATTGAAACTCACATTCTGTAACAGTAAATTGAAATGTATATTCTGTAACAGTTACATTGAAACTTACATTCTGTAACAGTAACATTGAAACTTACATTCTGTAACAGTAACATTGACACGTACATTCTGTAACAGTAACATTGACACGTACATTCTGAAACAGTAACATTGAAACTTACATTCTGAAACATTAACATTGAAACTTACATTCTGTAACAGTAACATTGAAACTTACATTCTGTAACAGAAACATTGACACGTATATTCTGTAACAGAAACATTGAAACTTACATTCTGTAACAGTAAAAAATGAACAAATTCATTCTGTCATTGACCGGGCCCGATACCCACCTTTAGATAGATCGAGGCACCAACAACACTTCCAGCGAATGTCATGTTGTCAACGAGAAAAACTGCATGGGTGTGACGTCACGAGTGCCTGTAAGGGGAAAAAAAAACAGTGGAAGCCCAAAATTAAAACAAAGGCGCAGCGGGGTCCTTTGTATCACTTCACCGTAACAACGCGCCACATGATACCATAACATAGATAGGTAACACATAACACAACTTCTCAGCCTACCATCAACTCGCTGCACTCTGTATAAAAGTCCGTGACGACACGAAAGCAAGGTGCGTTGCTATTTGCCCGTCTGTTTACGCCAAAAGTTTCTCCATGAAGTATTTGTCTGGCAGCGGTACCGTGCCAGTATCCACGGTCCATTGGTTTCACTGTGGAGTTTTATAAGTCGTTCCCCTCCACCCACCCCTGTACATGATGACCTCACAGAAAGGACCTGCTGAATCAGTCAACGGTCTTTAGATCGATCGATAAACATTTCTTATTGTATCAAATATGTTCAGAAGCATAGAAAAAAGGTGTAGCATTCATTAATGCTTTTTATACACAAAAAATGGTTTGGCCTTCGAAAAATAATTTAAGTAGATTAATGAGACACAGACAATTTGTGTCAATAAAACAATATAGGTTTTAAGATATTTTAATTATGGTTTTGACAAAGGGAAATTCAAAATTACGGCAAATGTTTGCATCAGTACAACAACAACAAAAAATTGACATAATTATAAATTGAATGCACATAACATAATGTTTATGCAACTATTGATGTAAATGTACAAACATCATTATGAAGTGTTTGATTAAATTTAACTTAATTTAACTTAAAGTTGTTTGAGACTTTGAGGCCCGAAGGCTTACGTGCTCTCCATTTCTAGCAATGGGGTTATATAGTTCAAATTGTCTATGAGACAGAACCACGCATTCTTATACTGTGACAGAACAACGCATTCTTATTTTGTGACAGAACCAAGAAATTCTTATATTGTGACAGAACCCACGCATTCTTATATTGTGACAGAATCACGCATTCTTATATTATGACAGAACCAAGCATTTTTATCTTGTGAAAGAACCAGGCATTCTTATTTTGTGACAGAACATGACATTCTTATATTGTGACAGAACCACGCATTATTAAATTGTCTTAATGAAGAGAAATTGCAAGGAAACGCAAGGCAGAACCTTGAAATTTTATTCATTTTTCATCAGTGATCAGAATAATTAGATTACTAATGGGAGTACAATAAAGTAGTTGTGAATAGAAGGCGTCATTTCGTCTCTTTATCTCTCTCTCTCTCTCTCTCTCTCTCTCTCTCTCGCTCTCTCTCTTTCTCTCTCTCTCTCTCACTATCTCTCTATCTCTCTCCCCTTCTCTCTTGATCGTTTTCTCAAATTCAATCTTTATTTCTTTTTTTATATATATACATATATACTTTCCCCACTCTTTTTTATTATCGTGGACAAGTTTCTAAAGCAATATTTCAATGAGTCTGCTCACACTATGCTATACTGTCATGGACTCGAAAGCTCGAATTTTTTTTTTTTCAGAAGCAGTTAAAAATGCACGCATTTGCCATGTTTTAAAGATCGAACTGGCAGAAAAATCAGTCTCTATCACAAGCAGTTAATGGGATACAGAAAACTACTGATATTTTTTTTTTGTTTAAATCCATCTCAACAAGATCGAATACTGTGACATGATTGTTGGTTGCAATTCTTTTGGTCCGTGAACTTTGGAAGGGACTTATCAGCTTGTATTTCTATTCTTAACTAAATTATCTGTTGTTCATTGTTTTCTGTTGTCTGCTGGGGAAGGCATCCAGCCGATACTACAGTTTCATTGTCGTGTCTTTTCTTTTCAAGCCTAAACATATCTTGCTCCATTATTTATTTACATCACACGGCTTGAACGCAGTCCCACATATACTATCAAAATGATCACAGGAGTTTATCAATATGAAATTAACAACATTTTAATTTACACCATCGACTTTTTCTTAGCTACCCAAAACGTGTAGATAGATCAATTATATATTCTCTAAATAAAATGTCTCAGCATCTCGCACTCTTAGTTTGGTTTATTTTAAAAGCAATGACGTCAACAAAAACTGCGATGAACGTGTGCACATGTTCTGAAACGGAAGCTCCGAGACTTGGTTTCCTAGAGACCCACCAAGAACAAACCTCGCGCTCACGACTCTCACCAGTGGAGCTCCAGGACAGGAGATGGCGACCTGCGGTGCGGTCACACAGCCGCAAGTGGCTGGTCCACCCAACTTCAGTAATGTAGAGTATCTTGGTAAGTGGTCGACAAAAAATAAGACCATCGATATTGGCAGATAAATATATGTAAAATCGCTCGTATTGTGTCATATTTTATAACGATACTCATTGATAGAGTTGTTGATGGGGAGGTATCGAAAACCCGATTCTAACGTCTCATTAGGCCGATGGTGACAATGCTTGTGCCCATGCATGAGATGTTGTTGGAACCAGTCACACTGGCCTTTCAACTCTGTGTTAGTCTGATGTATAAACTCTTCATTGAATCCCAGAGTACTGCTCACTTAAAAGCCAGGGGCTGGTGGGAATTAAATAAATAGTGGAAATAAGCTTTGTTTAGTCTTGAAAAACGGACAGAGCAATTAAGCATAAGTGGCGGCTAAATGCTTTCTTCGGCAGACAGTACAAAACAAGAAAAACGAATTATTTGAAATTAAAAACATAAGTTCTCCTAGATCACAATATGGCTGTCTCAGATCACAATCTGGCTCTTTCAGTCTCTGTGCAGAAAAAAAGGCGCAATATCACTAGTATGCATCAATTTATGTCAGTCAACATAAGCAAGTTAACATATGCCAATACGCATGTGCCAGTCAACATATGCCAGTAAACATATACCAGTAAATATAAACCAGTCAAAATTTGCCAGTTTACATATGCCAGTCAACATCTGAAAATCAATAGCTTCCACCAAATACAGGGATTTCGGAACATGCTAAAATAGTAGGTTTGTAATGAGAATTAAGGCCGTATTCCAAAGAATCTACTGCACGGAGAGTTGGCAGTGGGGGACAAGACTTATTATTGGGCGGCTGCGATGTACAATGAGCATGAGAGAGGCCAACATAGAAATCAACGAATAGGAAATCATCGCTGAGGACCATTCCAACTGGCGAACAGCAGTGTTTGAAGGAGTCAAACAGGCAGAAGATGCGCGAATAAAAAAAAAAAACGTTCAACAGAAAGAGAAATTCGGGCGAGACAACCATTCCAGGATCGGCCTCGTTAGCCATTTGATGAAGTGTCAATAGTTACTCCATCGTCTCGCGGAGACGGATAATCTATATATATAATACGCCAGAAAAACTAGGGCAAGAAGACAATGACGCAGGCTATATATAGATACGCCAGAGCAAGCAAGACGCAGGCAAACACTCCCTTCCCTTGCCTGCCCATCGTTGGTCTCGAGACATGTGCACTGCGGTGGAGCTACCGCCCCCCCTCATGCGCCACCCTCGCTTGCCAGCCATGCGCACACCCACACAAGCTGAGCCAGAGTTCCATATTTTCCCGCAATCACAGTTGTATCCTCAAACCCACCCCATTTGGACAACTGTGTCTTTCACGAAGTCTTCAATCATCTATGAGCAATTCTGCGACGCATGCTACGCCGCTGTTCGGCTAGTATAATATACTGTCTGCCGAAGGAGGCATCTCGCCCAAACGTAGGCTTAGTTGTTTTGTCTGTTTTATTCAAACCTAAACTATCTTGTCCCAATATTTATAGATTATTCCTGGGGCCAAATGTTCATTTTATGTGTCTTTCACATCCCGAATAATCACGTGACGGTAGTTGGATATTCGAATTATTAATTAATAATTACAGCTCATAATTTCAAAATTCGATTCCTAATTGATTACTGCCAAGTAAAATTGTTAGTTGCAGGAAGTCCCCTTTGTATAACGCCTTTGTATGAAAACTAAATTGTAACTTTTCTCTTGTGCTCCTCTGATGACTAAATTGTAACTTTTCTCTTGTGCTCCTCTGATGACTAAATTGTAACTTTTCTCTTGTGCTCCTCTGATGACTAAATTGTAACTTTTCTCCTGTCCTCGCCTAATGACTAAATTTTAACTTCTTACCTGTGCTCGCCTAATGACTAAATTTTAACTTCTTACCTGTGCTCGCCTAATGACTAAATTTTAACTTCTCACCTGTGCTCGCCTGATGACTAAATTGTAACTTCTCACCTGTGCTCGCCTAATGACTAAATTGTAACTTCTCACCTGTGCTCGTCTGATGACTAAATTGTAACTTCTCACCTATGCTCGCCTAATGACTAAATTGTAACTTCTCACCTGTGCTCGCCTGATGACTAAATTGTAACTTTTCTCTTGTGCTCGCCTGATAACTAAATTGTAACTACTTACCTGTGCTCGCTTGATTACTAAATTGTAACTTCTCACCTGTGCTCGCCTAATGACTAAATTGTAACTTCTCACCTGTGCTCGCCTGATGACTAAATTGTAACTTTTCTCTTGTGCTCCCCTGATAACTAAATTGTAACTACTTACCTGTGCTCGCTTGATTACTAAATTGTAACTACTTACCTGTGCTTGCCTAATGACTAAATTGTAACTTCTCACCTGTGCTCGCCTAATGACTAAATTGTAACTTTTCTCTTGTGCTCCCCTGATAACTAAATTGTAACTACTTACCTGTGCTCGCTTGATTACTAAATTGTAACTTCTTACCTGTGCTCGCCTAATGACTAAATTGTAACTTCTTACCTGTGCTCGCCTAATGACTAAATTTTAACTTTTCTCTTGTGCTCCCCTGATAACTAAATTGTAACTTCTTACCTGTGCTCCCCTGATAACTAAATTGTAACTACTTACCTGTGCTCGCTTGATTACTAAATTGTAACTACTTACCTGTGCTTGCCTAATGACTAAATTGTAATTTCTCACCTGTGCTCGCCTAATGACTAAATTGTAACTTTTCTCTTGTGCTCCCCTGATAACTAAATTGTAACTACTTACCTGTGCTCGCTTGATTACTAAATTGTAACTTCTTACCTGTGCTCGCCTAATGACTAAATTGTAACTTCTCACCTGTGCTCGCCTGATGACTAAATTGTAACTTCTCACCTGTGCTCGCCTGATGACTAAATTGTAACTTCTCACCTGTGCTCGCCTGATGACTAAATTGTAACTTTTCTCTTGTGCTCCCCTGATTACTAAATTGTAACTACTTACCTGTGCTCGCTTGATTACTAAATTGTAACTACTTACCTGTGCTCCCCTGATTACTAAATTGTAACTTCTCACCTGTGCTCGCCTGATGACTAAATTGTAACTTCTCACCTGTGCTCGCCTGATGACTAAATTGTAACTTTTCTCTTGTGCTCCCCTGATTACTAAATTGTAACTACTTACCTGTGCTCGCTTGATTACTAAATTGTAACTACTTACCTGTGCTCCCCTGATTACTAAATTGTAACTTCTCACCTGTGCTCGCCTGATGACTAAATTGTAACTTCTCACCTGTGCTCGCCTGATGACTAAATTGTAACTTTTCTCTTGTGCTCCCCTGATTACTAAATTGTAACTACTTACCTGTGCTCGCTTGATTACTAAATTGTAACTACTTACCTGTGCTCGCTTGATTACTAAATTGTAACTACTTACCTGTGCTCCCCTGATTACTAAATTGTAACTACTTACCTGTGCTCGCTTGATTACTAAATTGTAACTACTTACCTGTGCTCCCCTGATTACTAAATTGTAACTTCTCACCTGTGCTCGCCTGATGACTTAATTGTAACTTCTCACCTGTGTTGGTGTGATGACTGTAATTAAAGACCTTTATATCTCTAAATACCCCACCATTCCAGGTGCAACGTCGACGTCCACGTACATGACGGGGCCCAGGCAGGCGGTACAGTTCACCCAGTTGCCAACCATTGGGACCATGCAGAACCAGTACAAGACCTACGACACCTACCCCGCCCCGTCACCCATGCGACGGTCCCTCACAACGTTACCATGGCGACCAAGCACCTACTACCAATCAGCGAAGGTATGTGGACCAAAAAGCTGATGGTGGAGACTTTAACAATTGCAGATGATTAAATTAATGTTCTCTGTAATTTTCACCAAAAATAAACTGATCATATAATATAACGTAATGGCCACATATTTTTAACCACTGCTGTGATAATATTACATACAAGAGCTTAACCAGGTGAAGCTGTGTGTGGTGGTGGGGGGGGGGTTCTACACCGGGTCCGGGTATTTTGAGTCCAGTGTTACAAAAAAAAAAAAGAGTTAACTTCTCATTTCCATAATTTATGCTGGCCTTAAAACAATAGACCTAAAGAAAGCCCTACCGACAGTACTACACCATACCCGTGGCCCTTTATTGATAAATTTAATTGGGGGGGGGGTTCTACACCGGGTCCGGGTATTTTGAGTCCAGTGTTACAAAAAAAAAAAAGAGTTAACTTCTCATTTCCATAATTTATGCTGGCCTTCAAACAATAGACCTAAAGACAGCCCTACCGACAGTACTACACCATACCCGTGGCTCTTTATTGATAAATTTAATAGTCACCTGCCCCCTAAAGAAATGTTTTGCCTGAATCCACACGTCACGCATGATAGCATATGTTTTCCCACTGAGTACTATTAATATAAAATATTTGGAGCTGGGGAGGGGCCGGTTTCGAGGAGAAAGCAGACACACCAAAAGCAATATATATATATAAGACATAGACATGTAGTGTGGCGACCTTCCTCCTCTCGAGCTTTAAGTAACCCACGCTCTGTACCTTCCAGGTCAACCCCTGCACCGCTGTCACAAGAAGCATGCCAGACCCCATGTCGGCCAGGACCCAGCTGTCGGAGCTGGACAGTTTGAAAGTGCCGCCTGTGTTCGCGGCGGCCCGAAACGCTCTCTACACCCGCTTCACGACAAACGATTGGATGGCCTCCAACCAGGGCAACTACCTGGCGTCGGACCGCGTGAGGGGAGGGTCAGAGCGGTTGAGAATGGACACGATGCGGCTCTGCAAGGAGTACGATGACAAAACGAAGCGTACGCAGGCTGACGTCGGCAAAAGACTCGGGGAGAGAATCGGTGGGTGACTCCGTTGACCCCAAAAAAATATCTCGACATGCTTATCATTAACTTTAAGTTGTAATTTATAAACAAAGTCACTCACATGTTTCAAGGGTTCGGTTAACTCAAGGGTTCGGTTAACTCAAGGGTTCGGTTAACTCAAGGGTTCGGTTAACTCAAGTGTTCGGTTAACTCAAGGGTTCGGTTAACTCAAGGGTTCGGTTAACTCAAGGGTTCGGTTAACTCAAGGGTTCGGTTAACTCAAGGGTTCGGTTAACTCAAGGGTTCGGTTAACTCAAGGGTTCGGTTAACTCAAGGGTTCGCTTAACTCAAGGGTTCGGTTAACTCAAGGGTTCTAAGACTTTTGAAATTAAAAGATACTTTATTAAACTGTTAAAAGTGTGCGTGCGCCCCATTGTGCATGTTTGGCTTTTCAAAACGGCTAAATCATATTTTTTTTAAAATGTTTGTGTATTTGAACCATGTCTATCTATCACGTGGAGAAGCGCAATGTACCACTGGTCCCAACTTAACCACAGTTTGAGATTAGCTGATCTCTCTTTATTTTTTACTTATTTTTTTAATTTTTATTTATTTTTTAATGGCAAGAGGGATAACGATCGAAATTTTAGCAAAGCATAATTTTAAAGAGTTACAGTGGCTGAAATACCAACATGTTTTGCAAGCATCCTGTACGTTCCTCGTCGCGACAAAACAAAACATTTTCAAACATTCTTCCGTTTTGTCCATTCTGTTTTTTACATTTGTCAATTGTAGAGTGATGCAAAATACATGGGTTGTTTTTTTTCCTTTTAGTATCAACCACCTCGTTCCTTCCAACGGAGAATAGTATAGTCGCCAGATTACACAACTGTATTGAATGATGTAGTTTTTGAAATACGTGTATTACCTTCTTTTAAATGATTTGAAATAAAGGTGTAAAGATGTAAAGGCGTAGAGATGTAAAGATGTAAATTAAATGTGCATAGATGGAAAGGTGTAAAGATGTAAAGGTGTTAAGATGTAAATGTGTTAAGATGTAAAGATGTAAAGGTGTAAATATGTTGTGATGTGGAAATGTAAAGATGTAAAGGTGCAAAAGGTGTTTAAGTTTAAAGGTGTAAAGTTTTAAAGGTGTAAAGATGTAAAAGATGTTAAGGTGTAAATATGTTATGATGTAAAAATGTAAAGATGTAGCGATACACAACTTGTTTACGTGGACGGCTTGTGTCTGTTCCTAACAGGGGACATAAACTTCTGGAAAACGGAACTGAACCACGAGTTGGATCTGATGATCACCGAGACCAATGCTCTTAATGAAGCCAAGAGAATCCTGGAGAAGAACCTTGCTGAGACGGAGAACCCGTTACACATAGCACAAGAGTGTCTGTACAACAGGTTTGTTGGTGCTACCTACTGGCAGCGTGACTTACGCTACGACACAGTAATGGGTAGAGACGCGGCATTGGGTAGAGACACAGTCTTGTTTAGAGACACAGACTTGGGTAGAGACAGTCTTGGGTAGAGACACAGCCTTGGGTAGTTACACAGCCTTGGGTAGAGATACTACCTTGGGTAGAGACACAGTTTTGGGTAGAGACACAGCCTTGGGTAGAGCTACTACCTTGGGTAGAGACAGTCTTGGTTAGAGACACAGCCTTGGGTAGAGACACAGTCTTGGGTAGACACACAGTCTGTTGTAGTTACAAAGCCTTGGGTAGAGCTACTACCTTGGGTAGAGACACAGTCTTGGGTTATTTACACAGCCTTGGGTAGAGATACTACCTTGGGTAGAGACACAGTCTTGGGTAGTTACACTGCCTTGGGTAGATAGTAGATATACTACCTTGTGTAGAGACACAGTCTTGGGTAGAGACACAGCCTTGGGTAGAGACACAGTCTTGTGTAGTTACACAGCCTTGGGTAGAGATACTACCTTGGTTAGAGACACAGTATTGGGTTATTTACACAGCCTTGGGTAGAGACACAGTCTTCGGTCTTTGGTAGATATACTACCTTGGGTAGAGACACAGTCTTGGGTTATTTACACGGCCTTGGGTAGAGATACAGTGTTCGGTCTTTGGTAGAGCTACTACCTTAGCTAGAGACACAGCATTGTGTAGAGACAAAGACTTGAGTAAAGAAGATGTTTGAATTCCCGCCCACACAAACAAACACTCACAAACACACGCAAACACACACACACACACACACACATGACCGACAGAAGAAAGTGCATAATCAGACTCAGCCACAACATGTACAATATCCCCAAATATCTACAAGACCTTCTCAACTGTCACATCCATGATCGTGTGTTATTTCTATGCTGCTGTTGCATGGTTTGGATGTGTGTGGTGTTGTAGTTGTTAAAAGTGCATTTCTCTCCTGTCGATGAAACGTCATTCTGCCATGTAGTTAAGCCTTCAGCCATTAACGTTGACACGTAGTCTACTGTTACCGACAGGGAGAAACGTCAGTCCATTGACCTTGTTCATGACAACCCGGAAAAAGAACTTATACGAGAGGTGGACCTCATCAAACGCTGCCAGGAGAGAATGCGGAACACGATAGACAGGTGATCGGTTGATGTTAATTAGTGATTATCGATTGATATTGATCCGTATGAGATTTGGAGTTAATGGTTAGTATTATGCAAAAAGCGTCAATGGGGGAGGGGCCAGGGTCACCATTTAGATTGGGTGTTTGCCTCCCCCCCCCCTTCCCTGAATTTGCAGGTTTTATTTAAATTGCTAATATTGCTTCGTACTGTGGCGCCTCCAGTAATAAACAACAAATCGCCCAAGTTTTGCTTTTGCCTCCTCCCCCCTGAAATTGGAGTTAATGGTTAGTATTATGCAAAAAGGGTCAATGGGGGAGGGGCCAGGGTCACCATTTAGGTTGGGTGTTTGCCTCCCCCCCCCCTTCCCTGAATTTGCAGGTTTTATTTAAATTGCTAATATTGCTACGTACTGTGGCGCCTCCAGTAATAAACAACAAATCGACCAAGTTTTGCTTTTGCCTCCCCCCCCCCTGAAAAAACCTGAAATAGCAACGGGGGGGGGTTGAAGGTGCATATCCCACCAGATGTTAACCTCACAGGGGAAGACGAATAATGTAAAATTGCAATTTTGACAGAGCTTGCTAATAACGGTTTCATACAGATGTAAGTTAAATACAACAATAGGGTGTAACCAGAGCAGGGTGTCCCCAGACCAGAGTGTCTCCAGACCAGGGTGTCTCCAGAACAGGGAGTCTTCAGACCAGGGAGTCTTCAAACCAGGGTGTTTTCAGACCAGGGTTTCTGCAGACCAGGGTGTCTCCAGACCAGGGTGTCTCCAGACCAAGGTGTCTTCAGACCATGGTGTCTTCAGACCATGGTGTCTTCAGACCATGGTGTCTTCAGACCATGGTTTCTCCAGACCAGGGTGTCTCCAGACCAGGGTGTCTCCAGACCAGGGTGTCTTCAGACCAGGGTGCCACTAGACCAGTGTGCCACTAGACGAGGTTGCCACTAGACCAGGGCGCCACTAGACCAGGATGCCACTAGACCCGGGTGCCCGCCACTAGACCAGGGTGCCACTAGACCAGGGTGCCGCTAGACCTGAGTGCCCGCCTAGGGTACCACTAGACGAGGGTGCCACTAGACGAAGGTGCCATTAGACGAAGGTGTCTCCAGACCAGGGTGTCTCCAGACCAGGGTGTCTCCAGACCAGGGTGCCACTAGACCCGGGTGCCACTAGACCAGGGTGCCACTAGACCAGGGTGTCTCCAGATCAGAGTGTCTCCAGACCAGGGTGACACTAGACCAGGGTGCCACTAGACCAGGGTGTCTCCAGACCGGGGTGTCTCCAGACCAGGGTGACACTAGACCAGGGTGCCACTAGACCAGGGTGCCACTAGACCATCATTTTGCAACCAGTGAATGTTGTCACCAAAGCACTGAGGCGGGCACTGTGGTAGTCCTCGGGGGTAACACCTTGAGATTCTTCCAATGGGTGACACAGGGAGATTACCTCAATGGGTGACACCTTGAGATTACCCCAATGGGTAAAACATTTAGATTACCCCAATGGGGGACACCTTGAGATTACCCCAAGGGGGGACACCGTGAGATTACCCCAATGGGTGACACCGTGAGATTACTCCAGTGGGTAACACCGTGCGATTACCCCAATGGGTAACACCTTGAGATTACCCCAATGGGTAACACCGTGAGATTACACCAATGGGTGACATTGTGAGATTACCGAAATGGGTAACGCCAACACTGGGAGCGCCATCGTGCTATCAAATTTGTTGCTATAGTGTTGTATGCACGTTTACCGGTTAAGAAAATCGATGAAATGCTTATGACTTGGAGCACCCAGTCTTGTTCAATATGTTGTCAATATTTGGGACGTGTGATGGAATGATAATGTAATTCTTCTCTAGGGCGAATGTCCAGCTGGGTCTGAACAGAGCTGCACAGCACGAGCTAGAGCGAGATACTGGTGATAAATTCATAGCCGAGAACCTGGACACCACAACGCACATGTTGAGAAACACCAGCAGAGGGATTGCTTACCACGACGGTGTCCACAGGATAGACAACACGATCAGCGTCCCTGAAACGTGGGCCAAGTAAGTAGCTGGAGTGAGACGTGGTCCAAGTAAGTAGCTGTAGTGAGACGTGGGACAAGTAAGTAGCTGTAGTGAGACGTGGGCCAAGTAAGTAGGTGCAGTCAGACATGGGCCAAGTTAGAAACTGCAGTGAGACATAGGCCTAGTAAGAAACTGCAGTGAGACATGGGCCAAGTAAGAAACTGCAGTGAGACAGATAGTTTAAGTACTGAGACATGGGCCAAGCAAGTAGCTGTACTGAGACATGGGCCAAGTAGGTAGCTGCAGTGAGACAGATGGTTAAATGAATGAAACAGGGTCAAATTATAAGTTGCTACCGTGAGATATTAAGAGATGACTGGTATTCCAAGATGAATCACGTATAAAAGTGAAGAATGCACTAGACGTAAACATAATTAAACTTTTGTTTCACTTTCTTCAGATACACAAATGATAACATACAGAGATCACAGTCGGAGAGGTTAGCTTCTAAAAATATGAGAAATGAAATTGAGTGTGTTATCAACACATGTAACAACGAGATGTGGATGGTAAGATTGTCCGTATGAGTTGTGCCTAAAAGGAGGAAATGACAAGATAAAAAGTGCATGCCAGTGGGTAGCCCGAATCGGTAGGAAAAGCTCCCCATATCTGGATGAAGTCGGGGGGGGGAGGGGGGCGTGTGATCCTGATGAAGGGAGTTACTTGATTACGTGACAGATACCGCTTGCTTGCACTTAAAAATGTAGGAACTTGTAAAAATATTAACTTTAAGTATCTTTTGTCTACTAGATCCGTCAATAACTGGGTGGAAAATTTAACAAAATGTTTATTATTTGACCATTAGATAATGATTGATTTAAAACACGATTTACGTCACTGTAAATAATTTTTAACTTTATCTGGTTACGAGACGAAGACACGGTTCACTAAGACTATGTGGGCAATACATTTATGTCCAGATTAAGTCTTATGTGATTTACAATGATTAATAAAAAAATAAGACCGTGGCGTCTTAAGAATTACAATGTCTGTCCTTTGTTTCGGGTGAACTTGTTAAAACAAAATTTATAAATTCACATTGAAGAATCACCCAGTTAACTAATTGAAAAGCATCGATGTTCCAGTGTTTGTCTCAATGTCTCGATGTCTCAATGTCTCGATGTCTCAATGTCTCGATGTCTCACTGTCTCAATGTCTCGATGTCTCAATGTCTCGATGTCTCGATGTCTCGATGTCTCAATGTCCCGATGTCTCGATGTCTCAATGTCTCAATGTCTCAATGTCCCGATGTTTCTCCCATCTCAGGAATGGAATGCGGTGAACACAGCGCTGAGTGCTCGCATCCAGGAGACCACCGATGCCAGGAACAAGATCCAACTCCACTTGAATAGATCATTACAAGAGATCTACGACATGGAGAAGAACATTGAGCTGCTCAAGAAGTCGATACAGGATAAAGAGGCGCCCATGCAGGTAATGGGCCAGCACCCCGTCTTATTAGTTACAGTAGACTGATACAGGACTAAGGGGTGGCCAAGCTGGTAATGGGCCAGCACCAGGGCCGTCTTAACAACACAGGAGGCCCTGGGCACAGCAATGCAATGGGGCCCCCTAGCAACACAACAAACCTGGGCCGTGAGAAGGGGCGCACTCGCCCCATGCTCATGCTCAAATAGTGTTTGGGGGGGGGGGCAAACAGTTCCTGCTCCCCACCAAGAGGAATAAAAATGTGAAATAAAAATAAATATTCAATAAAGCTAACTTCGATGAATTCCATTTGTTGATACAAAAAACATCATTCAAAATCAATAATAGTTTTAAAACATTATCAGAAATAAAATATAAATAATCACATGGGATGATAAATTATCATTATTGACAGATAGATATAATTAATTATTTAATATAAATCAACACAATCGTTTGCGTAATTTTTTGCAGAGAATTGTTTTATAGTCAATGGTCTTAAGGATGTCATTTCCCATGTACTTCAGCGAAAGCCAGTCCCATTGTACTGAGACGCTGATTCTTACTTTATTCTTTTTTATTCATATCTCGGAAAAGTAAAACGTGTTGAAGAGAGCTATTCCCCTTTAAAATCTTTAAAATTGTCCAACTTTGATTTCGCATTTACAATCTTAATTTTGGAATGTGCTGTTAAAATTGGGAAATTAATCCAATTAAATTGTCAAAATCTGTCAATATTCATTAAAAAATATGAAAACCATGATGCCTCTATAAGAGTGAGTCTCCTAGAAACGGGGGCCCCCCTACAAGCGCGGGGTCCTGGGCCCATGTCTTAAGACGGCACTGGCCAGCAGACCCTCTTAATAGTTAGAGTAGACTTTAATGAGATAAAGGCATATGAACTGCTGACGTTGACATACAAGTCCGTGAATTAAATCAGTACACCCGTTTTTGTTTTAACTCAAGTCGACAACCTAGTTGACTAGTAGACTTTTTGGTTCGACAACCTAGTTGACTAGCAGACTTTTTGGTTCGACAACTTAGTTGACTAGCATACTTTTTGGTTCGACAACCTACTTGACTAGCAGACTTTTTGGTTCGACAACCTAGTTGACTAGCAGACTTTTTGGTTCGACAACCTAGTTGACTAGCAGACTTTTTGGTTCGACAACCTAGTTGACTAGCAGACTTTTTGATACAGCAGGTTTGTTTTAGGCCAGAATATATTCGAATCTTGTTTTTTATTTTTAGGCAACAAGAAATGCAACGCCGGCCTTAGGTAAACTTTCGCCCTGTGTGAAGCACCCGTTCGGCGCCCCCTTCCTTGTCCAACCCCAGTGTTAATATCCAAATTAAGAATGCAACGTTCATTGTATGAAAACTCATTCTATGAAAAGCGATTGTACGAAAAGTTGGTACACCGTTTCTCGACCCCGGACCCGAGGTTCACACTTCACTATAATAAACTAAGGCAGTTTAAATATTTACTGGGCACCCTATGCGAGGGCATGGGTTGTACACCCTAAAGGGCGGCGTAGAGAAATGTTTCATTGACGTCATTGTCTTAGCCATATTTGGAAACATTCTGTACGTTATTTTGCCTTTATTGTGTTTTAAGCATAACTGGGAGAAATTAAACTCGTTTTTCTTGCAAAATAATTCTCGATGTATCCTCTCTCCCCAGGTGGCCCAAACCAGGCTTGACACGCGTCTGCGGCGCCCCAACGTGGAGCTGTGTCGCGACGCCGCCCACAACAGGCTCGTGGAGGAAGTGGGCGAGATCACGGACACGGTGGATCACTTGCAGCACAAGCTCAGGGAGGCGGAGAACGCCCTGCAGGCGCTGCTGAGGACCAAAGGGGCGCTGGAGCAGGACCTGTCCATCAAGAACACCACCCTGTTCATCGACAGAGAGAAGTGCATGGCGATGAGGAAGACGTTCCCCATGGCGCCGCGTCTGGTGGCCGTCGGGTAAACGAAAGACGGATGTAACCGATTCCAAACATTCAATATTTTGTTTAGTCCGTTTAGAGCAGAAGAACAGCCATAAAATGCTCAGTGTCAGGCCATCCCGTTATTTCCCCCCCCCCCCCCCCTTTTTTAATAAATGTAGATTGATAACTTTTATAACTGAATGAGAAGGGATTAAACCTCTAAAAGGTTGACTGGACTTATTGTTTGAGGAGCGTGTAAATGCGTTGTGTGATGTGTGCATTAGTTGTTCTTCACTTGAGATTAACAAGCAGCAACGTGTGTATGTGATACAGTATGTTATGGTTTCTTTTTAAAGTCATGGTTTATTTTGTAAATTATAGCTATCGTCACCAAGTCAATGATATTGAATTTATCACATGGGAAGTGAACAAGAATACATGGAATTCGATCTTCCAGCAACATTATTGTCATGGAAACATGTTGAAAATTTCTTCCCAAAATTGATATCAATAATGTTGTAAATCTGGTTTGAGGCAAGTTTCAAAAGTTTCATTCATGAACTGGAGCTTTTTTTTCTTCTATTTATTAGGAACAAACTGAAATAATGAAGAAAGACAAAACATTAGTGTAGATATTTATTAGAAAATATATAACTTCTGATATTGAAAGATCCAATACTATAAATCGTTAAATTAAATAATGGTCTATACAAACAAGATGTTTTAAAAAGCACTTCTCAACTGTAACTGAACACAAGTTCAATGCAATTTTTTAAAGTCAAATTTCAGTTTGATTTCAGACACAATTTACAACTGTCCAGCAACACCACTTCAAAATAAAAACAACAGATTAACATAATTACACTCTCCTTCAGCAGACGACTTTCAGAACCATGCACCTGGAGGGTTCAGATATATGTGTTTAAAGTTGTTAACACTACACATTGTTAAACACCTGGGTTCACACAAAAACTTGGGCCAGCAAACTGGCATGCCAGATATGCGGCAGTAAATTCAAACAGGCAATATATTGATATATATAATATATGTTAACATTCTCGACGTAAAGACAGAAAAATGGGTTAGTAAATTGTCATGTTTAATTAACCATTAACACCAGAGAATATAACAGTAAAACATGGGTGGGAAACCTGGATACCTAATGGGCAACCTAGGTACCTAATGGGAAATCTAGATACCAAATGGGAAACCTAGATACCAAATGGGCAACCTAGATACCAAATGGGAACTCTAGATACCAAATGGGAAACCTAGATGCCTAATGGGCAACCTAGATAACAAATGGGAAATCTAGATACCAAATGGGCAACCTAGGTACCAAATGGGCAACCTAGATACCAAATAGGCAATCTAGATACCAAATGGGAAACCTAGATACCAAATGGGCAACCTAGATACCAAATATCAACAAAGTTGTGTGAAATCAGGAGCTAAATTTGCCAGATCATTTTTAAAAAACCAATAAATTAAACCATGAAATTAAAATTATATCAAATAATGGCTGGATTAGAAAACTTCTCTCATCTTTTTCTAACTCATGCTTGATATTTTTTACATTTTGTATCTTCATAATAGAATATAAAATGTATTTATTATAATTTTTTTCTATCAGAGAAACTGGTCCATGATTTTTTTTTTTATTGGTGATATAGGTTTGCACAGACTGACTGTAAAACAATGTGAAAGCACTCAATAGAAAGAAGCCTGTGAGTCTGTAGAATTATGCTGACCTAACAACTGAAAACTTGTTAGCTTCCAAATGTGAGCTTTTGGCTGATAAAATCAGCCAAAAGCTCACATTTGGAAGCTAACAAGTTTGACCATTCCAAATTCTAATTATTTGAATAAATGCAGAACAGATTGGCGCCTTGATAAAAATGAACATCGATCTGTCCAGGTGGGCGGCCTTGATAAGAATGACCTTCATTGAGCTGCAAAGTTCACAACAATTTCACAATCAGAATTTAACAGATGATCTATATAATTATAATAAAATTTGTTAAACACATTTTTTTAAGGAAGAAGAGTTCAGAATTCTAGACAGAGAATCTAGGATTGAACTTTTGTTGACTTCCTATGTCAAGAATAGATTTAAAATTGTAATACATTACTTTTTTTAAAGCTATTAATTTTCTTTTTTTTAAAACATATTTTTTGAAGAAACATTTTTTTTTTTTAATTTAAATTCATGTTTTTGATTTTAGTTGAGCAATCACTACTTCACTCCCTTTGAAAACCCAAATCAAAAATTGTCAAGCATTGATTCAAATTCAAAGCATCACATCAACATTCCTTCCACTTCTACACAACCAATATAAATTGATGGAAGCTAATATGATATCTGGTTTCATAATTACATCGTGCAATAGCTATAGTGTGTGCACATGGATGAAAGTTTTTCTTTCAGAAGAAACTGGTCCATGGTTATTTTGTGGCCAATAACTATAGATCTAGACTGGAACTAGAATACAATAAAAAATCATCATTTTTTCTAAACAGATTATATTTCTACATCAGGTTATTGCACATGATGATCATTTTGAGTATTTACAAAGCATAGAAAAGTCAAAGTTTGGAATGATAAAACATATTTTTATGCATTATTCACAATCACATGGCCTGATTTATTGTATAAAAGCTAAGTAAGCACTGCCATCATTAACCCAGGGATGCTCAAACTCTGGTACATAGTATGTCACCCCCAAAAAAAATTACTTTGTTTAAATAAAAAAAATAATGATAATATACTCCAAACTCAATTAAAAAATACATGCATGCTGTTACATTAGTTTTTTTTAATATTCCAGAATTTGAGAACACCTGATATAAATTTACTATGAAAAATTTAGTACAGTTGGTCTTTAGGAATCAACATTTATTCTCAGTTCTTGAGACTTATCACAAGTGGTTTCCCCCACCACCACCATTCCCACATGGTTTTTTTTAACATAATTTAAACAAATATCACTATATTTAGACAGTCCCCCCCCCAACCCAACCCTCTAAGTTAAGTTTAGATGAGGTTAACAAAAAGAATTGAGAAGCCTGATCCCCCAGCAAGTCCTACAGTCATGGCCAGGGCCAACATAATCCCTGTTCCTTCCAAGTGTTCATCTTTAGCTTTGCTGAAACAAAACACAGACAACTGGTTAGACTGCTATTTGAAACAATAAAAATTAGTTTTATTGAAACTGTTAATATTATAGATAGTTAAGCAAAGATTTTCATTATTTGTATGCCCCTTCATTTTTAACCCTGTAGGACTATAAATTATGACACTATTAGTTTTACAAGGACAGAGGTAAACCGTTTTTTATTAATTTATTTTTTTTTCAACATCCAAGTTCATCTAAATAATTTTTGTTTTGGTTAAAATTAAAATCTACACAAGCATTCTTATTTCGTGATTGGCTGCGACTATTTGTACCCGGTACCATTGGGATTAAAAAACTTCAAAAATTATTGTTGGGTTTGTAAGACAAAATGAGGTATCAAATGAAAGATGATTGAATGGACTATATATTTGTAAACTTACTTCTTCAGTTTAACTAAATTAAACTACCACAAATGACATCCGAATAGCTTGAGTCTAATGGTACCCGGGTGCGAATGGCGACGCTGCGTGTCTGGATCCATTTTGACTCAGTGCTATTCGGATGTCATTAGTTGTAGTTTATTTTAGTTAAACTGAAGAATTAAGTTTACAAACATATAGTCCATTCAATTATCTTTCATTTGATACCTCAATTTGTCTTACAAACCCAGCAATAAAATTTTAAATAATTTTTAAACCCAACCTCTCACTTCTGGTACCCGGGTACAAATAGCCACTTCATTCGGGATTATCTCCCTTAGGATGTGACCTTTCCAAGCCACTCCCAGTATTTTATCACTCGAGTTTTTTGAACATGTTAAGTGTGATGTGTCCTTTCCTTTTCATAACTTTAATAAAGATTTAGAAATTAAGATTTGGCATCCAGTGAAAGAACCCAACAAATTAGTCCTGATTTTCTAATTTCAGATGAGTTGTTCAGATTCCAGATACAACACAATTAATTAGTAATATTTAAAATATGTGTGGAGGACTGACTAGACCTAGATATTAATCAAAGAAACCATAAAATGTGCACAAAAATAGGGTCTCAAGTTTTTTCAAATTTTAGGACCACTGCTAGTAACATGATGCAGGAAGTTTCATTTGGCCAAGATTATGTGATTTTAATAATTTAACACTGCTAGTTGGTTACTACAGACTAGAGCTTTGAACTTTCTAGAGGAATCCTTATCATTCCCTTGTTATGATACAACTGATTCGTTCTGGCTAAGAGTGAATTAAATTTTCAGGAAAATCATTTCAAAAAATTGTTAAATAAAAAATAAACAATAAATATATAGTTGGACTTACAGTGGACCAAAAGACATACAGAGTGTCCCTAGGTAGCCATTGGTCAAACCAAGTAAAGAAATCAACACAATGGGATATGCATCGTTATTCAAAACTAAAGGCAAATATTCTCTGGGCTGTACATTACACAACATAAGTAATGGGATGAACCCAATGCGAAGTATTGTCATCGTAAGAAGCCAACCTGGTCGATGAGCTCCTGGCTAAAACACACACAAAAATGTTAAGTCATTAAAAACCTGGACAGGCAATTTTTCTGTGTATTTTATACAGACTTTGCTGAGCTTATTTTTTTCTCATTATCAGCATCCCTTCAAGTAAAACTTTTATCTGCATAAACTTGGAAATTACAAAAGTCAGATGCTAACCTTTTGGCCTCATTCATAAAAAAACTTTAGAGAATCAAAAGGTGAACAAAACACTGATCTAGAAGATGCGTTATATATAATATTGTTTTCAGATATTAAAGATCCCATTGAATAAAAATAAAGATTAAAATTCCCTGTGTGGCCTCCCCGGCAGGAGATGAGATTCAGATACTCACAAATTTTATAACAAATGTGATGAGCCTTCCTACAAAGTCAAAAACATTGAAGAGCAGAAAACATATAACAGGAGTGAAGTATGTCTCTGTAAGATGGAAAAGAAAAACCACATCTCACTTAAATATTATGTGAGTAATAAATTTAAAAATTGCAACTAAGAATATATTCTAAAGAAACAAACAATCCTCCATGGGACCATGGAGAGCCACAGCATGAATCTACAGGTTTTATAAACAACATAATGTCCATTTAAAATGAAATCAAACAGATTTACAGTCAAATGTCTGACTTTACCTGTCCACTCATTTTTGGGGGTATGTGTTGACTTGATTAGAGAGCAGACGGCAGGAAACACGGATAGAGTAACTAGAAATACAAGGCAGACGCTCAAACAGTACATCCATGTCTAAAATAAAATAATTAAAAAAACAATAATTCCTTTCACAATAAAATTTCATATCAACACATATCACAAAAAAAGTTCAGATCAACTTTTGCATATTTTGAAGGGGAAAAAGTTTGTAACTACTAGCCTTTTAGAAAATGCATAGTATAAATTGGTTATTCTCAGATCAGTTGGTTATTGAAAAATTAAATTTAAAACAACAACCTGAACTACCTTCATTAAAAACAATTAAGAAATCAATTCCATTAATAAACATTTGTAAATAAATGTTATGTGCAATAAATCCATAAAGCTTACCTGTTTCAAAATTTCAATAAAGTATTCTTTTCTACTAATACTGTCACTAGGGACAGATAGCTCTGTATTTATTCCATTTATATTGCTTGCTGTGGACAACATTGAAACAGAATTCGATTTTTTTTTAATCCCATTTGGAAAACATCCATCAAAAATTAATAATAGAGACATATTTAAATAGGGTTGGCTTTCAACTTTTGATATTAAAAACAGGAAAGGTTCTCAAACGGCTAAGTGCCCTAAATTTACGGAAAGTTTTTAAGTAAGCAAGTATGGGTCTAACTACAAAAATTGATCACAAAACTGAATAAGAACATACAATTACAGTAATTGAACACTTAGCAAATAGGAGAATATGCAGGTCACAGAGACTGAAAGTTTAAAAGTTGTATTGAGAAGTAAACGAATGTCCTGTTTGCCAAATGTCTTTTAGGTCAATGTACATGCCCACTTAACTGTGGTTGGAAACAATTTAAAATAAAATAGCTAACTGGCCTAGTTAGTCAAATCAATAACAAGTTTTATAGTTACCTAGTGTTACCATATAATATTTGGCATATTTCTGTGGAGGAAATAACATTAAATAGCTAGCTCAAAGCTAAGAGAACTCATTTTCTAAAATACAAATATAAATTTTATGTTAATTTTATGACATAAATGAAAGCACAACGTAATGGAAATATAAATTTTATCATTAAGAGTATTACGTAAATGGATCACAAAGTAATTGAAGAATAAATTGTATCATTAAGATTATTAAATAAATGAAAGCACAAAATCACTATGTTCTATCAGTTGTGCAGTGATTTCAGGTGCCATTTTTTATCACTCTCTATTCATGTTTCTCAGGGACACTCTTCGTACGACAAAATAATGGACAAACTCTGGACAACAATTATGTAATCCAGCTTTAGAATTTTGATTCAATTGGTACATATTGTCTCAGGCCAAAATACCAAATGATCCACATATGCCCAGTACTCCCATCGACAGTTGATGATATGTGCCCTAGATATATTGTATATATCTGCAGAGATATCTTAGAGCTGCTGTATTTCTCCTACTATTCAATTAATCATCTGTGTCAAGACTGTTATCCATTTTTTATTTGTAGAACTTTCATAAACATCATTAGAGTCAAGAAAATTTTGATCACATTTACATTAAGATATTTTTTTAAAACTAATTTTGCCTTTACTTATCTTAGTTCTGTTACATATAAAATAAGGAATATGAAATATAGCTAAGACTTATATCTCACATAAATAAAATGACACATAGCTAAGATAAAATCAATTGGAAATCTCAAAATGCTTACCATAAAGTGGAGACTTATATAAGTAACTAGAGAGAGAACTGTGACAACTGTGGCAATTAGGAAATATATAAGACCACTGGTAATGGGATCCCCTCCAAAGGCATGGGTCAGTATGCTACATATAGCTGAGAAAGTGCCTCCAGCAGCCTAGACAAGTTAAGAGAGTTCATTTATTCCCTATTAGTATGCAAAAAAAAAATAGCAGAGCGTTTATTGTGACAAGCGTAAATTACAGGACATACAATGTATACCTTGATAGTAAACACCTCCCCCTTTTAATATTTTAATATATGTATCTATCCTTCAGAAATTTAGAATATATTATTGTGTCCATATAATGAATATATTTTAAAATATTTATATTAGTGAAAATATAGGATAAAAAAGAAACTAATATTTATGGAAGTGGCCTGGAAAAAACTACGCTTGACTGAAAGGTGTGGTTTTCATGTTAGTAATGGTAATGCATTCTTTTCTTTCTTAAATTCTATTTTTCGCTTAATATTCAAATTCTTCACACAAAAAACATATAAACTTTTGCTCAATAGTTTTATTGATAATACCGATATTTGATTATGAATTTATAACTTCTGACTTTATGTATAATAAAGATTTACCCCATTGCATTCACAGAAAGTTTGTATTGTTGAATCTATTGAACATTACCCAAAGCCTTCAACATAGCAAACAGAGTCATTCAGGTTTGATAGTGATTATTATCTAAGTCAACATTATATTACTAATCCTTACATCACTAAAGTCATTATCTCTTAAACAATGTTTACTAAGCTGGTTTTCTAGGGCAGCAAAGTTTAAGGCAAACCAACCTGTCCAATCATTGCAGACTGGGAGTAGATTGCTGGAAAAACAGCAGACAGGCCCAATACTGACCCAGTGAGAACAGACTGGACTCCTGAAAAAATAAAGGGAATAAACCGTTACTAATTCTGTTAAAGTTAAAACTTTAGGAAATAAAAATTAACACAATCATTTTTCAGGAAAATCAAAAGAGGCACTTAAAGGTAAAAAGCTACTATATGGGAAAATACAGATTCTCTATCACAGTGAATATTTTGAGATTAATGACACAGGCACGTAGTGGATAACCACTGGTACTAAACTGGGCTTAAAAAAAAGAAAACATGCCATGTGCCACTATTTACTTCATAACTTTGACTATTTCAGCTTAAATATAAGTAACAAATGGTTTTAATTCAAATTTTTTTTTTCCTTCACAATCCACACAAACTTGTCAACCGATGTCCATGCCAATATTTACTAAGTCATTAAATCTCAGATTAATTTTTTTTCCTTTAGAAAAATCTCTGTCATTAATTAGAGCTTCAAGCAATTTAAATTGCTTTTCGTGAGCAAATTAATTAATTCTTATAAATTAAAAGAAAATATACCACTCATAAAAGTAGCCATCACAAGTGTAAAAATGAAGAATGTGTCTTGCCCTGAGAACCAAATAAAGCAATGATAATAGACACTTGAGTTAACTTTTTAATTTTTAGTACACAGCAGAAAATATTTTTGATAACACATAGTAACAATTTAGCTGGCCAAAAATATTTGTTGTACGATTGATGATGATATCATATTTTGTGTAAGGAAACCATGCCTGTTAAAAAAAAATTCTTTTATTTCTACTTACATGAGTCTGTATTAACTTTGGTAAGAACTGAAGTTATGATGAAAATTATAGTAATAATGATTGTTGAAACCAAAACTCTAACTTTGACAGCAATTCTGAAACAAAAGCAAAGTAAACTATAAACATACAACTTGGAAAATAGTGTTGCAGTACACATGAACTTACACTGGAAGCTACAGCTGGCTTAGAAATAAACTAGTTGTTCCTTTTATTCGATAACACTCTTGGATGTAGCGAATATTTTCAAAATTAATGCCATTATTAGTTATTTTAACTTGGGTGAAAAATATTTGAAATGATAAATGAGACCAATGAAACTTATTTCTTACTAACATGGAGATGAAAACAAATTTATAGAGAGTACTTACGCCCTAACAAGAAGCACAGTTAATATCATAAAGAATAAGTTGGATCCATTTGACACAATAGATAGATAGCTTTCAAACTCTTTCTGCATTTGGGTGGTGTGCTTTTCATCATCAAATGATACATTGCTTGGTAGGCTGGTATTCCGGAATTTGTAGTCAAAGTACTGAGAATAGGCACAAAAGAGAGGCATATTACTATTACTAATAAAAACATAATGTAAGCCTGGGTTATGATGATGATGATTGAGTACTTTTATAGCTCTTGTTTCCATGCTATTTTAGCATGCCACCAGTGCTCTGATGTCTTAAAATCTATTTAAAGAAAAAAGTCTTTAAAGAAAAAAGTCTTTAAATGGTTCTTAAATTACTTTTTATCCTTTACAATGTCCCTCAAAAATTAGGGCAAACTGTTCCGCCTATCAATTTTTTTTAAAGATTCACATAACTAGATGTGCTACATGATTTTCTGTTATTTTATTTTTGTGCATTTTTGTTCCATATCCTGTAGCTAGCATACAGAAACAAAAATAAAATGTTACCAGTACTGTTAATAGTCTATTGACAGCAAATAAGAATTTTTTTAATTATGATAATTTCTCATTAGAAAAATATAATTAAACAACATACCTTTTTAGCAGTGATAAAGAAATTCCAGGGCAGTAAAGATGCCAGACCCAGGAAACCAAATATGAGAAACACTCCATACTTTCTGTAAACAATTGAAAAATTGATGTTATACATGGACAAATAATAAAAACATATGGTAAATATTTAAACTATGGCAGATCAAAGGAGATGAAACTTACACAATGGAAAAATGAACTATTTTAAAAAATATGTATAAGTTATTGGAATGATTTTAAAATACTTCATTAATTAAAACACTTTTTCACTACCCACCAAACAAACATAATTTTTTTCTTCCTTCCTTAAATTATTAGAATAAACTATTATAGCACACTTTTCAGTTATCTACAAATTTTATGAAAAAAAAAAATCCTCAACTTACATAATTAGAGTGATAAACAGTAGCGTGTAACCTAAATAAAAATATACTGATCTAAAGGTTATTGCTTTAGAACTTATAATAAAGAGAACTATCCATTGGTTCTTGCTGGCTCTGTGTAGAAATATTTGAAAATCTTTCCTCCACACTGACTGAGAATCACTGAAATAATTATATAAAATAAGTTGTTTTTTTACCTGTCAACTGGTGCCTCAAACTGATTAGATGACCCAATTAGTGGTTTTTTCTCTGCTGGTGACTTTGATGGGCCAAACCCATCATCGTAGTCCTCTTCATAAGCCATCAGTTCTAATTCACCATCAGAGTCTTGAGGAACTGGAAACTCTTCATATTCAACTGGGCTGCTGTAGCTGTTGAACACAAACACTTGAGTACATTTATTACAAAAAAAAAAGAAAAAAGAAAACTGATCTTGCAAATCTATCCTAAAATAAATAGCAACTGACCTTCTTAGATCATATGAAACCAGCACTACTTGCTAAAAATAGTATTTTCTTTTTAGTTTAGAGTTCCAAGGACAGGCCTTTTTTTAAACTTTGCATTGATAACTCTTAATAAGACTGGGATAAGTTTAAAAGTTAAAACATGAAAATTAACACAGTGCTCCACTGGGGAAAGATAACAATAACACACATGAACAGTGATTAATTTACATAATAAAGATCACACGTCACAGATAATGATGAGCTGACCTCAGACTATGTGACTGCAATAATTGTACAGTTTTTATGCAGGAAAGATAATACTGATAAACACATAGTTCAAATACATAAACACACTTGTTAGAGTGTTACCCAAGTTACCTTAATTTGAGATTGATTGCTAAGCCAAATTACCTAAACCCTAATTTATTTTTTTTATATATCACAATTGAAAATTATTACAATACAATATTTAATTTGCAATAGGAGCTAATAAATAATCTTAAAGTAAAAGCCCTTCAAAATGCTAACAAATGCAAAATAATATTTTGTTTTATTTTTTAGTTAAATGTCATCCTTTCCTTCAGTAGGATCTTATTCCTGTTTAAGAAAATATAATCCTCATTTTCCCTTTTGTATAAATAATATTCTAAGAAATATGTCAGTTTATGTATTTGAACAAGAAATGAATAAAACAAAAGTGTACATCCAAAAACCTCCTGAATCATTGGCCTGTGCACAATGACAAATAAAGCAAAAAGAAGTTTCAAATAAACAACCTCTCAGTGTATGGTATCATGGTAAAAAAAACAACAACAAAAAAAAACCACTTTCATTGAAACAGTTTTAAGATGAGTGATAACTGATATACAGGTATATCATCTCACTATCAGCCAGTTTTTTGGTCTTTTTTTTTACATATCTTGTTTGAGCTGATAAGATATTTCCCAATTTAATCAGGTTGAAACATTCAATATTAAATTTAAAATGATTTTTTTTTTATTTAGGCTTTAAACACTATAAACGATAACATAAAAAGTTAACAGATGCAAGTTTCTATACATCTATTTAGATGCAAGTTTCTATACATCTATTTGTAATTAAGTTAGAATTCCTCCCAGAATTCAAGAGGCTGAAATTATTTATTTTCGTCCAAGATTATGTGCCAAACTGTAATTTCTTAGTGACTATTACCAATATTATCTATTCAAATATTGCATCACATTCACACTAGTGTCACTCAAATGTAGGTAATGATCTACATATGTGGCCTGTTTTGTTCCTAGGCATAAAAATATTTCTAGTATCGTTTTACTTTCAACATTTTCACGTAGCTATCTACTATATTTATCTTAGATTAAAACTCAAGTGCATGATGCTATTTATTCTGATATTATACATAAAATTTTAATAATCAAAAATTGTCATTAATGATAGCTAAGGTTCTACAATAAATCTTTCTTTTAAAATTGTAGGGAACCCCTGTACTCTTCTGGGGAGTTGAGGGGCAGGATAAGGAATCCCTAAAAATGAAATGTTTAATAGAAATTGTTTCAAATTATGTCAAGGTGTAAAACTACTCTTGTGCAATGAAAAATCATTTCATTTATTCATGAGATCATGGTGTCTATAATATGGCCTTAATTTGTCTTTTTTCTAACTTCAATCACAATGGATACTTTTTAAAAATAAGTCTTAGATGTGGTATATGAATTAAATGGGAGTGTTTTCAACAAATCAAAATTAAATTTAAAAAACAAAGCTTACTATGATGCTAGACAATGTCTTGGAAAATAGTATTAAATAATATATTAATACATTGAATTTTTTTTTTTCCTGGGGTGTAGATAGGAGTGGTTCAGTTATTGAGGACACTACCCACACAAAGAAAAGAAAATCATGGGATGCCCATAAAAAATTGACTGCATATAAAAGGAAAGTTGAAAGTACATTGATAATCGAGCTACCTTACTGATCAACTAAGAAGATGCCAACTTATTAGATGCTAATTATTGCTTAAATCAATTTAATTTCTAAGCCTAAAGATATTCCAAAATTCATATTGCTAAATAATACTACATCAACACAATACCTTTACCAATGATGAACTACAAATTAATTTTTAGTTACACATCACCAAAATATTGTGATATCTTTTATTGTTACTAAATATTATTATTTGATTTTGCATGTTCTAAAAGGGGTGTACATTAAACCTAGGTGTTCAAGCTCTACATATTATGTTGGAAAAAATATTTTTTTTTTAATAACCAGGTTCAGAAACAATTAATTTACTTATAATTTTTCTTAAACAAAATGGCTTACCCGGTTTCTGGAGAATTCATCCATGGACTTCTTATTAGGCCTGAATAAAATGATATCTTTTTATGATTACTATTCTGTTAGTAGTTAGGCTATAATATTTTCTCAGTTTACATCTTCACCATAGTAAGTGTGTAGTGTATAGTATTCAAATGCTTTTCTGAAAAGGAAATGATAAAACCTTCTAATACGTGTAGACCAGTGTTTTTATAACAATGCTCAACATTTCAATTCTCAGGGGCTCCTCTGAGGCCCCAGGAAATTCCTAAATGCTTAAAAGATTTGTCATTGGCATGGATGGAGTGGGGGGACAGGGCAAGACTTACTGGAAGGCTGCGCTTTAAAATTTAAAGACATATGCAAAAGAAACATTTGGAAAGCCAGCATAGAAATCAGGATATGGGTGATCATTGCTGTTCACTTTTCCGGCTGGTGAACAGCAGTGTGTATGAGGGAGTCAAACAGGCAGATAATGCGTGAAACGAAGCCCTTGCAACAAAGGAGCATTACTTTAGGTTAAAGCAAACCAGAAGTCAAGATTCTCTGCCAAGGAGAGCAGCCATTCCAAGATCTGCCTCCTATGCCATTAGAGTGAGGAAGTGTCAATAATATCTTGAAGGATGCCATACTCATACAATAACATAAACAATGCTTGGCTTTATAACTTTATTTAATAATTTCTTAGTTATACTTGGAAATAGTAACTGCTCTACATTACATAAGAAATAAATAATAAAGAAGTAGTAGTGTAAGTATATAGTATAGGCCTATGGCCTATGCCATGCTAAACATAAATAAAAAAATAATTATTTAGGCCTAACCTTAACCTTATCAGTATCATTCTCTGATTATTATTATTATTATTTAAATTTAGTCCTACTAAACACACTTACTTTTTTACAGCCCACACTACAGTGCACATAATACTAATGAATATTGTCAATGTTATAATTGTAAATTATAAACAAAAGAGTAGAGTCAAATTATATGCATATGAATATGAATATGGCCCATATATGGCATATGCCAAACTCAAAACTAGTAAACTAAAATTGAGTAATATATATTATTACTAAAATTCATCAAATTCAAATATGTGCTAACACTGAATTCACTGATAATACTATTACTATTATTAAACAGTACAAATAAAAGTACAAAGCACAATCACATGCAAGGATACTTATTTTAAGTCACTAACTTGACTAAGTTCAGACTCTAAGACTTTTTAACTTAATAATAATAATTATAAGTATAAGTCTTAAGTCAAGTGAAGTTACTAGGTCAGTTGAATTTGAGTCCCATGTCTTGCCACTTGAACTTACTACTAGTCACTAGCCCTAGCAGCCTAATACTAACTAATAAAAAAAAAATACTTGAACTGAGTGGTCTCCATCTGGCCGAGTACAATGAACTTTGAATTATGAATTTAGACTAGTTAATTTAAATTTAGACTAGTCACAGTCGTAGGCTACTAACTAGTTAAGTAGGCCCTACAACTACATTACATACTAATTTGACTAAGACTAAGAGTCGCATAGACTTAGACTTGATTGAAGATTCTGAGAGTGAGAGTATTCATGAGTAGGGTCAGTAGGGAGAAAGCAAAAAAAACTCTTCTTACTATTACTATTATAAGTCTTAGCCAGCGTTGACTTTGGGCCAAAGTTTGGCCAACTTTGCAACAAAGACTTTGGACCAAGTTAATAACTTAATATTATTAAAAACTAACTTAGTCTGTATTTTCTTAGTTCTTAATAATTGAAACTTAACTGAACTATATTAATATTATTATACGAGGCCAATCGACAGTTTCAAATTTCAATCAAACCAGTCCTATTTTCTATACTCTATACTTTTCTTATTTATTGTGATTATTTATTTATTAGGCCAGGCTCTTTCACTCATATTACTATTACTCATAATGAATTCCATGTTTAATTTGACTACACCTTTTAGATTTTACAAGCCATATGATTAATAAAAAGAATTATTTAATAATTTCCGGAAACAGGTTAAGAAGGACTAAAATTAATATTTTTTTATCTATATATATTTTTTTTTTTTATTTTTTGGTTGAGTTTCAAGGTAGGTAACGCCTAGATATTTTTCAATTTCATTCTCCCAATGATTGTAGTTCTTAATTTATCCTTTTCTTTCCCCCCCCCCCCCCTTCCCGCCAAGTATTTTTTGGATGATTTTAATTTTAAACTTATTTTTTTCAAGCCGATTCCCTAAAATTTCGAAAACTGTATTTTTTTAAAATTTCATATAGAGAAACCACCCCAACGTCACCCAAAGCCCATCATGCCGGATTATGTCGTGTACTGTAGTGGTGCCACCAGGTTTTCCAACCCAACCCTCAGTAAATTTGCAGAACAAACAATAAAAATATGACCTTACTTAAATGACTTGTCCGTAAATGACCCATGGAAATTTAGAATGTCGTTTAAAAAATGAGACATTGTATTGTAGTACGGTATGTGTAGCCTACGCAGTGGCGGAGGAAGAGGGCGGAGGTCCGTCCGGATAATATATGGAGGGTGGCATTTTCGGCCAACTAAATAGGGGCGGCAAAATTCTTCACCCGCCCCGGGTGGCACTAAACCTAGCTACGCCACTGATTGTAGAGACATTTTTAAAGAACTTGCTTCAAACTTTTCTCATTGAGTATAAATGGTAGGTCTGAAGCTGATAGGGGGGGGGGGGGTTTACAGAAAATTTTTTTTTACCAGAAACGGAAATTTTATTTTTAAGTCCATATAAATTATAAATGTTTATTATAGTTATTGTATAGTGCAGTGGCTCTCAATCTTCCTAATGCCGCGACCCTTTAATACAGTTTTTCGTGTCCCGGCGACCCCCAGACACACAATTATTTTCGTTGCTACTTCATAACTGTGAATATGTGTTTTCAGATGGTCTTAGGCGACCCCTGGGAAAGGGTCGCGACCCACAGGTTGAGAACCGCTGGTATAGTGGAAGTCGCTTATGACCACCTTTTAATCATCGTATATGATAATTGTGAAATTGGCAGTGGGTACGCAGATGGCTGATGAGACCGATTCTGGCACGAAAGGTTCCTGTGCAGTATAAATGCAGGGGATGGATCATGACCCACTAGAGTACAAGTAGGTTGTGAATGGATAGGGCATCTCCAGGAGCAGAGCTAAATAACCCAGGCTTTTTTTGGTATCGGGTATGTCTTTTGTGCTCTACTGCTAATGTTCTTTAGGATTCATGTTTGAAATGTTTGGAGCCTTTGTGTACAGAGGAAAGGGGAAGTAAGCGTCAGTTCACACGATCAAATTTTCGATCATGCATTTGATGGATCAAGCCTTGTCACAACTTTTAAATTACTATTTAATCAAATTCCCATTTTTTTCCCCCCCCCCCAAAAAAAAAAAAAAAAAACCAAACAAAAAATATAGTGCGTTCATACAAAAATTTGACGCGAAATTTGAAGCTAATTTGATCGTGTGAACTGACGCTTAGACTAAATATTTGTGTGATATTTATAAGCACACATTTAATTCTATAATTTATTCCTATATTACATTGTTATGGATGAAACCAATAAACACGAAATATTGCAGATTGAATAACAATAAAGCTCTCACCCAAAAAGATTGTCGTTGATTCTCGCATCTGATTTCCCCGACACAACTCACGTAGTAAAGGAATCAAAGGAAACCAAGGGGTGTTGCATTGTGGTACCGTACTAGTTTAGTGACTAAGACTCACTACTGAGCCTGACATTGCTGAAGACATCATGGAAGTATGGAAGTCATTCTATATCTAATAATACTAACTCTAACATGGAATCCACAGGGTGAGAGGAAGGCCAAAGATTACTAAGAAAAAGAATACCGGTACCGGTACACGGAGATGCGAGCTAGAGGCAGACATGATAAGAATGGGATACTTTTAATACTTATTAACTTGTACACCTGGAAATTGAAATCACAGATGCATGAAAAAATTCTTGTACCGGTAGTCGTAGATGGTCTTTGTCCCAGGCGGGGTAAAAGACATAAGTAAGTAAACAGTTTAGTGATCTTTTACCGGTACTCGTATAAATTATAAATATAATATAATGGGTCTTGATGAAGAGAAAGCTGGTGAGAATGACATACCGGTACAATAAGCTAACGCATAAAACCGTGCTCATATCAAATTCGAGTGGTCAAGTGACATAGAGAATCATGTCAACTGCATACCGGTATACATTTTTGATCTTTGACATAACCTGGCTGTAGTACAGCCCTAGGCAGACCTGTTTACTCTTTTACAATGTTGGCGCACCTGTACAACAATGTACGATTTTGAGGTATTTACATAATGAGATAATGGTACTTTATCATACTTTATGTTTATTTTTTTACTACCGGTACCGGTATTAATAATTAATAATTAAGATAATGTAGGTATTGAACGATTTTGTCATATTGTACGATTTTAAGAGTTTAATACAGTATTTCATTCGATATCTTTTTTAGCTTTTAGTTTCAACAACATAACTTTAAAAATGTGTCTTGTTATAATAATGTTAACTTTAAGATTTTCACTTTTCCATGAAAATTGTGGAGATAATTGAGATATGAAGATTTGTTCGAAAATTTGTTTTTATCGAGCTGTCACCCTGGGTGTCAGTGTCACGCCTTGCGGCCCATACCCCACTATTGACACCCCGTAATTTGTGAAAGGGCTAGGCAGTTGCACGCCGATATATTGGCCAGGTCACCAAGTTGCAAGTTAGGTTGGAAAATACAAATTGAACTTACCGGTACCGTACGGTACAGTACATTGACTTAAAGATTTCAATGCAGTGAGTTAGCGAACGTTTCGATTTTAGGACCGAGCCATGAAGCAAGCTAAGTTCGTTATCCAAGCTGACTGAGTCTGACTGTATATTTTTGTGGGCTACTGGTACTTATTCGACATATTTTCAAAATTTTCATGGAAAACGAAGGTTTTGGAAGCCTCTGTACCGGTAAATGAATGGCACCTGGGACTCAGGACCGCTCCCTTCTCTTCACACGACCCTGACAATAATGGTGAAAATGTAATCAGTGGCGTAAGGGACCATCCTTAAATTTAATTAAATGACATCACGCCATTTTTTTTACCCGGGTATATATAATTTATGCGTTCTGCAATTAGTCTTGCTTTCTTATCTTACACACCTCACCAAAAAGTATTTATTTTATTCACTTAATAAAGTAAAGACGCCCCTTACCCAGTACCGGTAGTTAAAAGTCGTCGCAAGTTAGTGAACCCTTCAATTGTTTTCAGATGCTTGGCAGCAGGCGTCAATCATGGACGGCCCCCTTGTCCTTGTTTATTATTACTAATATGAAATATTACTACTATCACGGTACCAACAATTTGTAAACCCTACTGGTCTTGGCTTACCATGGATATGGGCTAAGTTTATCTAAAACTAAAACCAATGACAATGCTACTTGAATTCGCAGTAAATAACCATCCAATCTAAAATCTTTCCTCTAGTCTCAAATTTAATGAGTAGTCTGGTAACATTAACAAAATTGAACCATACCAATTTATGTGCATAGCTAGAAATCTAAATTCGATGAACTTCCGATATATACACTTTTCTCTTACATTTAAACCTTTATTTCATAGCTTACTCACAGTTGTAATTTGTAACTGTACGCAGCCGCCACATCATCTTTCCCTTCCTTTTTTCATTCACTAAACCACCGGTACTGTCTACTGGATTAAATAAATTAAAACAATCACCTAAAACTTGATGATGCAGCTTGCTTTACTAGCTGATCCCATTAATGTGCACTAGGCATTGCATTGTAAGTGCTTCTGGTTTTAACATAGGAATAGGAAGCTTGCAACTTGTAGATACAGTACCTACTGGTACAAATTCAACCACCAAACAGATGTGACTACTGACTACCACTAGTACCAGTACTCTGTGCCATACCCCAAAATTTCCGAAAGAGATTGGGAAAATAGATAGCATGTGATTATAATTATACTTTACAAATGTACCTGGTGTGTGAAGTTCTACCCTAATAAACTATACCCCGACTGGTACTGTACATCAAATGTAAGAGAAATAAATATGAATGAACTATAAACTATAAGATTTGCTTTACTGCTTACTGACAATGTGACATTCACACTTGTACCGGTATATTTAAAAAAACTTCAGTTGAAGATGAAAAAATATGCAGGTTAATCACCAAGAGTTTAAATATTCTAGAATGTCTTTAAAAATTCAAGAATTCTAAATAATTTATACAAGTTAGAAATTAGAATTATAGAATAGAAGAAGACTTGAAAGTCATTCAATTTTTCCACTTCTGGCTATTCAGTTATGTAAATAAATTTTACGGGGACCCTTCAATCACCCATAAAAAAACAACAACACAGATCTTACAAACCAGGCGTGTTAAATGAAAACAAGAGATGTAATATAAATTATCAAATTTATTTACTAGACATCAGAACATGTATTCCATCCAACTAATCATTTTTAGGCATTTGGTTACAACCATTCCAGGAATCGCATGTTAGTCTCAGTCCAGCTGTAAAGAAAATGAAAAAAAAAAAAAAAAATTAATTAAAGTACTGCTATAAAAAATAAAAATAAATCAGTAAAAGAAAAAATATTAATTTTGTTGGTACACATTACAAATATATTACTATGTAAGAATACATGTGCACTAACCAACGAGAAACCAGGATTTGTGAACAATTTTTAAACAGTTAATGCTTCATTATTCACAACAGATGTCATGAAAGCATTCAGAGAAATCTACATAAAACTAATTTAAAGCACATCCTATATTAATAAGATATTAATTCATACTAATTTTAACATAAATATGACTTCAATCACCTTTTTAAATCCAATATCTTCTGAATATTGTCTGAAGCATCGTCTGCAAATATTTAGGCCATATTTCCTAATGAGACCATGAGCATTGCTGCAAACTCGGCTGTATAAAGAAAACAAATATATGGATTAAATAATTTGTTTTCAGGAAATTGATAAAATACACATGAGAGGTACAACTAATAAACCAAATCGACTTACAAGCTTTTGGGTGCTTGCCCTTTAAAAAAAAGTCCAATGAACCATTCGGATCTTGTAAACACTTTTTGCCCCGTTACTCTAAATAATGAATTTAATAGCTTTTTTGAACGGTAAGCCTAAAAAGAAAGTATACTAATCCAGTCAGACGAAAAACATTTGTGATGTATCTAAGGACTGCATCAGTCACCATAAGCCTAGAGTAAGGTAAATTAAATTAGGTTCTTGTATAAATAATTTCTCTGCTTGAGACAAATCACTGAAGAACTTTTGTTCAACTTTTTGTCCATTTGAAAATGTAAAAAACATGGTTCATGGTCTGGTCATTTCTTTGTTAATATGTTGTGTAATATTATTAGTAATATCCTTTTAAACAGAAATAGATGCTGAACATTACTGTACATTTCGACCTCGCAAATTTTTGGGAAAAAATTATATATTTTAAGGAAAGCATACTAATTAATTTCTGGTACATTCTCCACCAGTTTGGATTTTCATATTAACCACTGTTTAAATTATCCAATTAACAAGAATGGGCAAACATGTTTTACCCCCACCCAATCCAATTTTTTTTAAATGATTCATAACAGAATTAACAGGGACAAAATTAACATGGGTACGACTACATTTCCTCCCTGAATACCATTTTTTATTACAAAACCCAGAATCCGCATTTGAAAAAACTGAATTGGTGAGTCTGGAGCAAGAGAAAATAAAAACTTGCAAATCTGGAGCTCAAAAACATTTAGCCTCACGAATCCGGAATAATCCAGAAAAATAGCACCCTTGGCCAGTGATGTCTTCCACCGCATAAAATTCATGAAGTTTCCCCAGGCCAACTATCTGACATAGTTCCGTTAATTTAGCTCTGTGGGCCTATTTGTAATTTTTTTTCTTCTAATTTTTAGATTTTTATCTTAAGAGGGGCAGGGGTTATGCAGAGGTGTATCACCTTCCAAGAAAGAGTTGGGGGGGGGGGGGGGCATAAATTATTTTGAAATGTCCCATACAATAGCGACATTATTTTATTATAATTTTAAAATATATAAATGAGTGGTTTACTGGTAATTTCTTTTTCAAAAAATAAAAACTTAACCATGCCTTTTTATCTTAAGAGGGGCAGGGGTTATGCAGAGGTGTATCACCTTCCAAGAAAGAGTTGGGGGGGGGGGGAGGCATAAATTATTTTGAAATGTCCCATACAATAGCGACATTATTTTATTATAATTTTAAAATATATAAATGAGTGGCTTACTGGTAATTTCATTTTCAAAAAATAAAAACTTAACCATGCCCGTGTCTTTTTTTCCCCAGTATTCATCAAGGGAGATTCTGTTGAATCTTGTACTTTGAATTTTAATAAAAAAACGAATGTCTTAAATTATTTTACATCAACTGTATGGCTGTATGAGTATGGATTATTTTTAAAGCCAATAACACTCAGTGAAGAACGGTAAGTTATCATTCAGGTCCAACTGCTGTGCCTGTCACCTTAGCCTTAAGTCCAGGGTTGGGATTCCCCAAGTGGACAAAGCAAAGAGATGTCACTTTGCTTAGGGTAGATACTTCGATGAAAGAAGGGAGACTACTATTTTTTTTGTATCGGAAATGGGCGTCTGCGCCGAAAAATCCGAGTTTTTAATTTTCCGATGTGTGTGTCTATTTATTATTAAATTAGTTCTTTCCACATATATTTGAGTTCCGTTTCCGGCCTTATAATTTGGAAGACATCTTGGCCTACATTTCTAGCCAGCTATTTTGCTTTTTTCAATCGACCTTTATTTTGAAAATCTTTGGTATATATAAGGCATCTTCGCATACAAAATTTTTTGTGAAATAATAAGATAAGGTCCTTTTTTATTAAATCTGTATGAGCATTAGATATTGATCTATATCTGTGCCAAGTTTCATTGATGTAGGTCGTGTCCCACGTTTGTTACACTTGTCACAGTGACCCATATCACCATAAGGTGGCTCAGCCTAATTTCGACATGGCTTGGGCCACGCCCCCTTTTTAATGGCGGAAGTTGCCGATACTTAGGAAATATTTAATTATTACCACTATATACATCAAAATATTTTATAATTTGTGTTTCAGAATGCATTTTGAAGACATTTAAACTGGAAATGTTTTAATTTGAGCTTTAAAAACCCTGCAGAGTCCATAATATAAATGATCAGAATTTTCCGTGTGCAACACGTTGTCATTGGCAACCATTCACAGCCACTTGCATAACGGCTACGTTGTAGTACTATCTCAGAGTTTCATTCATAAGAGTTTGCCGTGTGCAAAAGCTACTAAACCATTGGTAAGGGAAAGCTTTTATTAATTATTCATGTGCCAAAGTTGAAAGTTTAAAATAAGTCGACCCTAAACAGTATTTTAGTGATAAGGGAATGCATTGCCTTATATAAACTATATAGTCATTGCGCATGACGCGATCAGCGGAATGAGGTCACAGAATGTGGAGATGCAGTCTATGTTAAAAAAGGACAAACCAAGTCGTACTTTAAAAATTCATAACTTTAAAACTACAACAACTAAAAATATGATTTTGGTGTTATAATTATGTTTAAAATTAGCTCTATTCAACTGTGCCATTGGTTTATTTTTAAAAAATGTTTACATTTTTGACCAAAGTATCTACTTAGGGCGAGACAACTCATGCCTTTAACTTTAACTACTACACATTTACTATTTATGTTGCATTAAAAAATTTCTTTGACCCTGCCAATCCCATTCATCTGACAACCCATGATATGTTAAAGTATTTTATGACATTTATGCTCAAATGCAAACAAAGGAGAATCCAACATTAAAAAACGGAATGCTACCGCCTATCGCTAACAGGTGTGCCATTCATTCTCAAGGCTTTCAGCTTCATATTTATCAACAATTTCATTTAAGAGGTGTAAGTAACTTAATATTTTAAAACAACCAAAAATACAAGTATTTTTATAATAGTTAACTTACCAAGATCGTGAGCCTGGCCCAAATCTACGGGGATGAGAGTACCACGTTGTTGTGAAACCCATCTTTTCTGTGCTGTCGAGAGAGGAAAAGGACGGGTAGCCAGTCTTTTGCCGGTTTGTAACAAAAACTTTTTTGCCACATAGGACATTAGATTATATTGCATTATTTGCTTTACAATTTGTCTCACATTTTTAATAAATTATATGTAATTAAAAAAAATTAAAATAAATTTTTCCCCATTTATTTTTTGATAAATTACTTAAAAATCGGGTTTATATAAATATTAAATACAATATATATATTATATATATATATAAATTTATATATCTATATATACATGTATTATGTATGTCATAATTATATGCAGCTTTTTAGTTACTTAACTTTCAATATAAAGATATAAAGGTCTATATTCATATTTTAATATAGTTCTTGCTAAGTTTAAAACATTGGCAATCTGTGTTCAAATTATAGATCCGTAGGGTTACGTGTTAATTATAAATTGTTTGATGGCATTATGATTATGCTTTAAAAATATAGTTATTAAAGTTATTAGCATAATTTTAATGCACTCGATCCATGCATGTTGAGCTAGATCAGTGGTACTCAACCTTCCTGAAGCCACGGACCTTTAATATAGTTCCTATGTTTAGATGACCCACAAAAAATAAATTATTTTCATCGTTACTTCATAAATATGTGTTTTCCTGTGGCCTTACTCGACCGCTGTGTAAGGTTCGTTCGACCCACAAAGGTTTCACGACCCAGAGGTTAAGAAATAAACTTAACTCTATTTTTTAATAAAAAGAAATAAACGGGGGCATATAAATATTGCACGTTTCATCAATTATAATAAAATCGAAAGCGTTTGTGTTTTCTTTAAATTTAAATGTGATGTGTTTGTAACACAGTTTCCTGAATAACATAGTATTTTTTTTATTTAAATATACATGTATTTAACTCTATATTTATGAAATTCCCAACTGCCAACTGCTTTTGTATTAAACAATCTGCCCCAACTATTCGCATGCATTTATTTATTTAGATAAGAATCCATTGGAAATCTAAAAAGAAAATCCCATTTTTAATTTAAAAATGTGTGAATTAGTATTTGATTTTTATAATTATTCAATTTTTTCTCCTTTTCATTTTGTTACTAGTTTTAGAAGAAATTATTTTTTCTAAATCGTTAAATTAAAATAAATTATATTAATTTGGTAAAAAATAATGTATACAGTTTATTTTTATCGAAGAGGCAATGTGTAATTATCTGCAGAATGTTTTAAAGTAGTTTTAAATTCCAAATAAACATTTCAATTTACTGAATATTATTTATATTTTATTTATATACTATTCCCTCAGACAAAAGCACTCAATTAATAAATATTTTCTGTCTTTTGTAAAAAATTAATGTCTTCTTATACGATTATGCCGCTCATATATTTCATGAACGATGGCTTTTATGTCAAGTGACAACTACATTTTTAATTCATATCTCTCTCGTTGCTCTCTGATTAAGAGTAGAATGTTACAAAACTTTATTCTAGTATATGCTAAAATGCATTCTTGCATTTTGAATTTATAAAAAAAAATTATAGGGACTATAAAGTTTTAAGGGGCGAGATAGAACTTTGGCAACAATATACCACCAGATTGAACGAATTTACTTCATGTTGCTCTGGGGCGGAATTGGAGTTGTCCCTGATCGTTATTATGGCTAATTTTGGCGATCCCGCCCGAAAGTCTGAAATGCCCCACCCCACATTGTTGGAAAGAAACACCCAATTCAAGTAATGCGCAAATATTCATCCCTGTATTTCTTTTACTTTATAGAAAAATTATTCATAGAAATTATATTCATAGAAATTATATATGAATAAAGAGTCATATAAATATATCAAATAGCATTATCGGCTCATCAAGAATATTTACCCACTCTTACCCCTTACAACTTTGTATTTCCATTGACCACCCGCTAAAATGTTATAATATTTTTAGCACCACCCCCTTCCCACAACGCCGTTAAAACATTTGAATTTGTACGAATTTTGTTTTCAGAATGTTTATTTAACAAGTGTTACTGTTAAACAAATGTTTTTCAGGAGAAAAAAAAAAGAAAAAAAAAAAAAAACAAAAAATTTAAAAAAATAAAAAAAGACTCATTTTTAAATAATAATAAAAATCGTTAAAACATTTGAATTTGTACGAATTTTGTTTTCAGAAAGTTTATTTAACAAGTGTTAATGTTAAACAAATGTTTTTCAGGAGAAAAAAAAAAGAAAAAAAAAAAACATCATACAATTTAAAAAAATAAAAAATGACTCATTTTTAAATAATAATAAGAAGAATTGTTATATAAAATTCCTTACTACTACCCCCACCCCCTATATACAATGTAAAAAAATGATAAACCACCCACCCCTTTGATTTATATCATAAGTCCAAAGTCCCTAACCTCTTTGTTGGAAACATCGACCTGCCGCGGAATTCACAGAATGGGACGCAGAAATCTTGGGAGAAAAGCTGTTACTCTTGACTGGTGTTTATGGTCCACGTTTCACTGTCACGGTATAGGTTTACCATGTTTTAAATGGTTAAAACCGTGTGAACGTATGCTTGAAATCGGGACGATTGGCATACCTAAGTAGGGCGAAGGGGTGACAAAAATTACATCCAAAATTTTGGGAACTTGAACCGGGATGCACAAAGTATATAGACACACCATAGTTAACGAGTTATGAATAAAGTGCCATTTTTACATGATAATTCCAACAAAAAAACATGCCACCAACCAATGTTCCCTTTAAGCTGCGCGGCCGCGCAGCTATCTCACAGACGCCGCGCAGCAGTTTTGAGTATCCGTTCAGCAAATTTCCATGCAAGTGTGTGTTTGTATTTGTGGGCTGTAAAATTTTACACACAAAAAAATCGACGTTGTAAAACTTTGCACACAACTGTATGATTTTGCGCACGAACCAGCAAACCTTACAGGGAACTTTGCAGCCAACTAATCATACATTATGATCACTCATCTATGTTTACCACTTCTCAGTTTTGTAAGAAACTCTAACATTTTATTAGTTTGAAGTATAAATTAGAATCATGAAAATATGAAATGATTTTGTAAAATCATTAATAACCTAATTTAACTTGAAATCAATTATTAAATTAAAATTCTTTGCCATTACACATACGCAATATACCAACCACCCAGGCCTTCAAAACTGCACTCAAAACATATATTTTTAAAATTATACTACCCTGACTGATTCCCCTCCTCTGACCGATAAACGATCTTGCTGGCTGCCGTCCATGGTTTGCTTTGTAAAAGTTATGTGGTGGGATGGGTGAATATACCTTGCTGTTCTTTATTTCATAAATGTATTTTATTTTAATGTCATGACTAATAATCATTGATTATGTCTCTTTTGATAAAATTTTTATGTACAGCACGGTGAGCCCAGCCCTAGGCTGGGGTACCACACTATATGAGACCTCTTATTATTATTATTAATAAGAGATTTTATATTTAATAATTAATATAAAGATAAACATAGTTTTCTTGCTTTTTCGGAGTAATTAAAAATAAGTTTGCTACTGAGACATTTCCTGTAATGGCAAATTTATGAAAGTGTTAAGACTGCATGGATATATATTTCAAGAAAAATATGATTTTCTTGGTTTTTCTACAATCAAAACCATAAATTATTTCTGGTATACACAATCGTTCTTTCTTTAGATATTTTATCTAAAACAACCAAGCGTTGTAAAATAAGAGCAAGGAATATATGTTTTATTAATTTCAGCTTGGAGAGGATACTCACAGCATTCTTAACTGCTTTTTTGGAGTGCTAGCAAAATTTAGCCAGCACTTTTAGAGATCCAATGTCTGCTAATAGTAAGTTAACTATCCTGATGAAATAAAATTATGCGTCTTTTAATCCCAAAATACCCTCTCATTTTGTTGCAGTGGACCGAAAATGGCGCCCTTAAATATATAGGGGAAAAAAATACCACCCACAACCCCTTCCTACGACAGTGAAGTGAATCCTCATTTTCAAATGCTAAAGCTAATTGAAAGTCCATGCATTCTTTGATAACTTTAAAAATCAAATTTCTATAGTTTTTTAAAAATCAAAATAAGTCACACTGAGGTGATAAATGTAAAAATCGAACATAAAATGAATGAACTGCGGTATCCAAATATAAACGTTGACTATAAAACTGGGCCAAGAATTGGATAATCTGGAAATTCACTGTCAACTCGTCAGTTTTTTTGTCGATATCTTAGTAGTATATTAATTATTTTTATCTGGAATTTATTCCGCACAAGGCAGTCCGCACAAGGCAGTCGCCTATATCGTCTCTCCATAAAACTGGCACTGAATAAAACATTCCTTAACATTTCACATTTTATCTTTGGAAGACCGGGGCCTGCGTCCCCTCAACTCCCAAAACCATCGCCCTACTGTGGACTGAATAATTAAATGTTCGACATAAATTTATAATAATTTAAAAAATCTACCACCTAATTTTAAATAATTTTATTTTCAATTTTAATGTACTGATCATTAATTATAGCACCCGGAAGATGCAAAACAAAATTTTGTGGAAGTTATTTTCTCCGAACCGATTGTCTGCAGTCTGCATTCTGTTGTCAAATAAAGATGGCGGCGGTGTTGTCATCAACTCTGATGCCGATGCTATTAATATTATTATGTTTATCAAGATTTAAACTAGGATTTGCCAAACCTGAACAAGGGGTTTGGGATTTTACTGCGAAAAAGGTAAAGCTAGACTAGCCTAGAATATTCTTAGACTTAACTCTGTAGTCAAGCTAAGTTAAAGTAGGCCTGCTTTATTTAAACGAAGTGGATGCGTACACCGCGGCGGTGTACCTAGCGAAACCATCGGCTTTGGCCTGCGTAAACCGCGGCGGTGTACCTAGTGAAATCGTGGGCTTTGGCCTGGGTACACCGCGGCAAAAAATTTACCATTGGCCTGGTTTTAAGATATACTTGTTGGAGAGGATCTTGTGTGGTCAAGTGGTAGAGTGGACGCTTGGCGATAATATAGTTTGAGATCAATTCTCAGTAGGGGATCGAGTTTTTTTCCTCCCATTTTAGTTTTAAAATATTTTGTAGCAATTGAAACAATTTAAATATATGTTTAAATATTATATTAAATACACTTTATATATTTATTTATATATATAAGTGTTTCAACAAGTTGTGCCGGCCTTTGACTTTGAAAATACCGGTAACTTTAGTAATAAGACTTTAGACATTTGAAAACAAACTTAAAGTTTCTGAAAGCGCATGTAATACATGATGATCATGTATAACAGAAACATTATGAATACTAAGTGACTGATATTCTATTGTATTTCAACATTCTTCGTATAGTTGAATATTTACATTTTACTTTTACGAACAACCAAAGAAAATACCAGTATGAATAATATTCATGCATATGAATATTAATGTGCATGGTCGTATTTCAACCTTGAACCATCTTGCTTTCACTATGCCTTATGCATTGGCAAAATGTACATACGATATCAAAGGTTCATTCACAACACTCAGTCTCACAGCAAATCTTTTGAAAACACCTCGATTTTAGAAACTTGCGGAGCGGTAGCAAACTGTATAGCAAAGCCATAGGTCTGCGTTTACCCTTTTCATGACGTAATTTGTTTCCAGAATGGCATGGCATGTGCTATTCTCAGGGTAAAACACGACGTTTTCTCACAGAAACCATTGCACAATGCGCCTGGGACAGGATTTGCACTATGTCAAAGTTTTTGTATTTGTTGTTTTTTTTTTTTTTTAAGAAATCGATCCTTGCCGGGGAGTGGGGGGTGGTGGTGAGTTATGGGCAGAGGCTTAACCAAAAAGAGGGCATTCACAAATCACGGCTCAGGATAGGGGTTGTCCACAAAGGACGTCCGCACAACCAACTTACCTTTTGCATCCCCCCTCCCTCTGCCTGCATTTTTTTTACTAATGTGTAATGCCAATGTAAAACTAAATCAATGATTTTTAATTATTGTTAAAAGACTTTCAAATAACTGCAGTGTTTCGTATTGATCATCTTACTGCTGTTTTGTGTTGACACATGCTTGGTGTCACAATGACAATGCCTCGGACTACTTTAACTTCACGACTTCATGATCAATGTATGAGTATGTGATTCTCTTCCCGTAGTGTATTTGTGGCGTAATTATATCATGGTGCTAACAAAATAGATACACTGTCTTCCCATTCATTTTTACACCATGCCCCGAGGGATCACATACAATGTTATATTTATAAGGCACCCCCCCAAAAAAAAAAAAAAAAAACAAACCCAAAACAAAACAACTAACAACTGGGTGGGGGTGGGCATGAGAGAATAATTTCAAATTAAGATTCACAATCATATGATAAAACTTACAATTAATAAATATATTTGTATTTCAAGATATTGGGGGAGGGGGGAATAAAGTGGTTAACTTTAAAAATAAATCATGGTTTAACATTACCCCCCCCCCAGCCCCTTCCCTTCCAAAAATAATAAGAAATGCTTTACATGCACTTTGCCACATACGCGTGGACCTTACTCAATATCTTCCCAAGGTAATAAACGAATTTTTAATAGTTTTCAGTTTTAACACGAGTATAACATTAAATCTACAAGTACCGGTTAGGCCAAAAAGTTAAAGACTCGCAAAGACCATAGTTTGGCTACTGTAAATCGCTGCGGTGTACGCAGGCCACAGACCATGATTTAGCTAGGTACACCGCCGCGGTGTACGCAGGCCAAAGTCAATAGTTTCGTTAGGTACACCGCCGCGGTGTACGTAGTGCCGGCCTTATTTAAACTACACTTTCTTATTCTTAGTTTTAACTTGTTTTAATTTATATTATATTTTTTAAAATAATCTATCTTAATTATTCTTAATATGTGGCCTGTGGCAGTGAGCCACCTATGGGTAAGAAGCACGCTCCTGTGTTATTGTTTACCCCATTGCCCATGCATTTCACACCTACTGAACAGGGGCATTCCTGCCCAACAGGTGACCAACGAACAACTCATGACACTGTCACTGAGTCACTGAGTTTCTGGTGTTTGAATAATGTGATTTAACCTATGTAGGTAGTTCGGTAAGATCCGGGAAGTGCCGAAAACCGGGTATCATGATTTCGTTGTCAAAATGGCGACCTCCACTTTTGAATTTACAGAGAGTCACGTTGTTTCAACTTTTTAACTATATATAGCCCAGCATGTTAATTTTATTTCTGCCCACAACTTAGAGTAGACATGTTGTGTTATGATTAGACACTTGAGTCCCCAAAAAATTTTGGGGCTTCACTTTGAAAATTGAAGGTAAAATAACGCAATTTTTTCTCATTCATATTTTTTTTGTGGAAAGGATCCTTTCTTTGAATTTCAGTGACTTTATAAATAATGGCATTAACTACAACATATCCAAGAAATGTCAATTTAGGCCCAACCGGATGGTCAGAAAGTTACTCGGAAATTGTGTCCCAAAATTACCTATTATCGTTAATATTTGTTGCTATAGTAAATAACCTGATTTATTCTGGAAATCCAGCCTATTACCTCCTAATAACTCATTTAAAAATAAAAATAAAATAATTAATAAAACAAATACATATTTTTAATATGATTTTGTGCTTTTATTGAGGGATATTAGGTTAAAAAAGCTTAATTAATTACAATTAATAGTTAACTATTAGTTTTATATACTGTTATATGTATACTATATATATGTCAATGTATATATTATATATATATATATAAATCTATATATACATATATAATATATATTTATGTATGTATATATAGAGGCCTAGAATAGTATTCCTATTATAAGTGTATGCCTATCCCCCTACCCCCAAAAAAAAATATTTGTAGGACCCATTATTCATATGTAATGATTTATATGGTGATTCTGGCATAAATTAAGTAAAAATGTACAAAAAATATTCACTTACCTTTGGTTTTGAAATATCCTATATTTAATCACATATCACACTATTCCAAAAGAGAATTATTATATAATCCTCAGTATTCTCAAAGAAAAAACACACTTTCTGCCACAATAATCCAAGAATTACATGAGATATTACTAAAATTTAATAATAAAACATTGTAATTACCTCAAGCAAATAACTAGAACTTATTTAAAATTCTATCAACAGCCAAAGTTGATTCTAACAATAAATGTTGATCTGTGAAACAACTTTACTAACTTAAAATAAATGAATTACTATTTTTTGTCATATTCACACATTCATATGGTATGGGACTAAAATACATTATATAGAAAATGGTAAAATAAAAAGTATAACAGTCAATTTTAATTTATTGAAACAAAGAATCTCTTTATTATTAGTATATAACTTATAAATTTTAAACAATTCCACAGAAAATTTGAAATTAATATCTTACGAATGTTTTATTATTATTATGATTTTTGGGAAATTGAAAAAAAATATTTATACATAATTAATTAATTACAAATAAGTGACGAGTCTGCATATTTTATATTTTTTAATAGGAAAATAATAAAGATTTTTTAAATAATTTTTGTGCGGAATATTAACAAAAACTAACTTATATTTTGTGGTTTTATTTAGAAGTACTCTAATTAAAATATGTTCCCTGTAAATATTATATTTTTGTGTCATTTTATAATAAAGTTATAGGCCTTAAAAAAAAAATCAAAATGAGGGTCACGAAATGTGGAGGAAAATCCCATATTAAAAAAGTACCTTTGAGGTCCCTACTAAAAAATTCATAACTTTTGAACCACTTGAGCTCGAAATTTGATCTTGGTGTTTTTGTAATCTATTCTCCAGGCTCTATACAGCTGTAGTATTTTTATATTTTTAAAAATGTTTTGAAATTTTAATCAAAGTGCCTAACCCATGGGTGTATGAACTAATACTTGGAGTCGGCTGCATGTGTGAGAGATTTGACTGTCTGTTCAAAGTCTTTTACCACAAAAATAAACGCTTTACTTCAGTTTTCAAACCTGCATTTCTTTGTTAATATATTTAGGCACCTCGATACCCACTCGCGCGCGCGGTCTGTGCATATAAAAAATTTTGAAAAAACTTGTTCTACAATATGGTGTACGGCTACACTGTATCTTTGGAAAATTGCATACTACGTCACCTTTGTTTATTAAATAATTGGTTTCCTCTCAGTGACGTTCAGTTTTTGTGTTCAGCTAATTCTAGGAAATTTGCGCAACGTTTTATTTTCTGTGTCATGGATAGGATTATCATAAGGATTCGGTAAACATATGTAATAATATACTCCTTTGTTTGTAAAAAAAATCAAATGGGATCTTGATAAAATGAAACTACGTTTAATTTTATAAAATTAATAAAACAGAGTAGGGTTAAACCTGAAAAAAGGAACGCAACAAAACAACGAACATGTCGGCAGAAAGCCTTCATCAGCGAACAAAACAACAGAAAAAACGTTATAAAAATAAGAAATAGCACTTAGCTTAGAAGTAGTATCCGTGGGCCGCACATTTCTTTTGTTTAAGTTTTATAGACATTTTTATAAGTTTGTGCATTCAATTTTACATTAAAAAAAAAAGACTTCTATTTACCTTTAACAAATATAAGAATTTATTTTAACTATAACTGAATCATATATTTAATTAAAATACAATGAACATGTTATTTTCAGTTTTTTGCCTTTACAAATAATAATTTTTCAGATTTTTCTGTAAATGATTTTTTAACATAACTGCATATAAAAAGTCTTGAAGTAATGTAAAGTTTTGTTGTTCTTTGTGTTGTATATTAGATTGGGAATGTCTCCTGAAAATTAGGTGCTATTATCTTTAAAAATAAAAATGTTGTGGGCAAAATAGTGCAGAAATTTGAAATTTAAAAATTAGACCAAAAAAATCATAACTCCTCTTCTATAAGAGATATAAAGATGAAATTGGCGTTTTTATAAAGCTTATAGCTAGCTCTTTAAAATGACATTTCTTTCATGGCAATCAGACAATATTTAAAATTAGTGTCAAAGTACCTAAAATATTAAAACTATCAGCCACCCCACGAGGACTACTCGGGTACAAATATAAAAAGGCCAAGGCCATTCTAAATTATTATTCATTCTTTGGACTTTGGAGGTTAATTCCAAGATTTAATTATAGTTATATCTCTACTTTTTTAATTTTATGGCATAGGGCATAAGTTAATATTACTAACTGAACTAAAATTATAAGCACTACTTGACTTACATATATTAGGCCTAATATAATATAATATATATATATATATATATATATATATAATAATGCTATTAATGGACAATGTACGTTACATGTCAAGTTTTGCACCGGAATGAGTAAGTTCCCGTTTGTTTATTCTAGGATTGTTACTAAAGCTACTACAGTTAATTTTTATTATTTTAATTCTATCATTGGGTAGTATCAATTTATATAAATTAAAGCTAAATTTTATAGCACAAGTGTGTAAGTATGTACACTGTAAGTTGAGGGAAGGGAGTGGCTGCAGGTGGTTGACATTTCTTACCACATATCTAAAGGGATACAATAAAGTTACTACGTTCGCCACAAAATGGTGGAACCTGGAGTAATGTGTGTAAAAGTGTATTCTATGAAACTGTAAATGTGGTTTTCATTATTTTAAAGTGTTTTAGTTGAGGGAAGTAGTCGACCACACTCATTGACACTGTATGGTCTTGCTGTATGGTAGATTAGGACCTCAATGATCTACTATAACAATAACATTCAGCCCATTCAATGTACCTGGAGAAAATGATAAAAATCTCCTATGACCCGCACTTCAGCCGACCAACTAACTTTTCCAATTGAATCATTCCAACCCCCCCCCCCCCCCCCCCCCTTCAATCACCCAATAATAATAATTTCAGTTTTAGAAAAAGTTTACACAGGAGTATTTTTCATACCATTTTGATGAACTTGACACCAAAACCTCGTTGGTCATAAGTGATTTTAATCTCACACTTTACAACTAATAATACGCATAAAAATAATATCATTTTCCAACTCGATCTGAATGTCTTAATTTATAAACTTAAAGTATATTTTCAATATTTTGTGCTTAGTACCTGGTTTCAAAACCAATCTATGCTAGTAGCACTTAATATATAGTCTAATATTATGCTGGAAATATAGTATTATTTAGAAACAGAAAAAGACAAGTAAAAATTTAAAAGGAACTTTGCCCATAGACACTCAGAATGTTATTTCAAAAATTTTCCCACATCGTATGCTTTGTATTACATTGTTTCAACTTGATTGTAGTCTTCCTAACAACCACATTATACTCCTTTATAACTGCAAATAGCCCTTTTTGTAATTATTACATACCGTTATAAGATTTAACTAATTTAATTTGTAGTTTTAAAATTTGGCTCATTAGATGAAAAATTCACTCAATTCATAGCAAAGGACTGCAAATCAGTATACAAAGAAAATCGATACCAAAGCTAGTGATATTAAAAATATAAATATTCAATTTAAGTAAATTATTAAGTTTATATAAAAATTCAAAATGAAATATACAGAAATAAAAACTATATTAACTTACAGCTGTGAAAAAGTATAATACTAGAAAGGTACAAATATTAATTCACACACACACAGTAAAAAATCTAATAAGTCTTGTTGGGCTTCTGTAAGTCTTCTAAATAAGTCTGCCAGTCGGCTGTCATATTTAAAGAGAGGGAGTCAGAACCGCCCAGAACAGATATTCTAGAAATTGGATTACCAGAGAGTATTTCACTCTCTATGTAGTATAATGTAAACCCTTCTGGAAATGTAAACAAACTTTCCCAATCAAGGTCGGTGGGGGGAAAGGAGTGGCAGAATTCATTGGTGACGTCAAAAATGAAGGATGAGGTAAAGTTGCATGCCACGGCTCACGATGAACAAAAATTAGGTCAACACACAGGCTATAACAGTGATCCATTTTCAAGCCCGATATGTCCAAACTCATCAAAATAGAAAGCTCAGATTCTGTTCAATAAGTGTGTAAATAGCTTTTTGAGTACCTGATTAGCAGCATTGTCATCAGCTGGACTTTGGATTTACTAAATGATCAAAGTTTACGATATATCATGATTTTAAATGGAGCATTTGTCATTAATAATAATATTATAAGATATATTTTTGTTTCAAAAAGATCAAAACCATTGGCATATTTGTTCCATTTAAAACAAAATGAAAAATGTCACTAGACTGATTACAGATCACTTGAAAGGCAGTTCCTTAACCTGCTAAGAAATTAAATCCTAATTGCTATTATTATTCAAAACTTATAGACAAGACAGGTTTTTATACAGTGTTTATCTTCTGGTCATTTGGTTGCCATATCAGTCTTGACTGTTAGCCATCATTAAACTCATTTTTTTGTGTCTGCTTGGTGGCCTGTAGGTTAAAATTAATTTTTAAATAAGATTTCATATCATTGAAATAATTGCAGTAACAAAAATAGCTTAATACATTTTAAGGGGATGTATCAGGGAATTTATTTTATTTGAATATTGTACAATAATGTATTTTTAAAATAATTTAATCAACAAACAACATAAAATGGAAAAGTAAGTTGAAAAAAACCCACACATTTATAATAGAAATTAATATTTTATTTTTATTCATAAAAGCAAAGACATTACATTAACACAAAATTTGAAGTTTACAAATTAACCTTGTACTACTTCGAATAATTGAGGTGGCACTAATTCATTGGATGATTTTTTTAAAAACAATATTTTGATAATTTCAACAATGAATAATTTGGGTTCTGATATCACTCATGTTTATCATGCACAAAATTTTACCAGTGGCAAAATATATAAATTTCTCCCTAAATTGTACGACTGGTCTCGCCTATCTTTCTTGCTGAAATTTTGTGTCTGGTGCTTTCAATATATTGATTGTATAGTACAAAATATCATCACTAAACAGCAACTCCAGCATTTATAATGGATTCATGCCATTTTGTAAGGCATATAATCCTGAGAGTTTTTTAATTAAATTGCTACCTCTCAAACGTAATCTGTTTGAAAGTTGATTCTTATTCCATTTTTTTTCTCTGTCTCTGCCAATAAAAAGTACCATTGCCAATAATATCTACATCATCAATATCACCCTTGTATTCTTCTGACTGGGAATCTTTCTGACAAATTTCAACTGCATCTTGACTCTCTGTGTCAACCTCCTCAACTTCAAAATCCTTTTTTCTTCATCTTCAAAAAAAATCTTTTAATTAACTCTATATCCTTGAGATTCATAAGATTATTTTCCTACCATCTTACCACCATCCATGTTAGATGGTGGAAGTAACGTAAAATATTATAAGGATCAGTAGCCTATAAATATCTCGTTTTGGCGCAATGTATCAATTTGATATATACTATTTAAAAAACACACTGAAATTATTTTAAAATAAGACAATGTATCAGTATTTACACAAATATGAAAAAAATAATTTACCAAAGCAAGAAAATAATACAATTATCAAACTTCAAAAAAGTAGCGTTGCAATGGCGGGGTGTATCAATTTGAACAAAACAGCCAAAATCTGCAATCTGAAAGCATTTTCTGTACACTGCACAGTCTTGGCTGATAAAGGAAAAGAAAACATTAAGCTTACTGATAAGCATAGCTCACTGTCATCTCTTATTCACATGTGCAAAACAAAAGCAGTTGGCTTTTTTCACTCTGATCAGACGCGCCTGACAAAAGGTTAATAAGCTTTCTTCTTTTCATTTCAGGATAATACTCTCTTCTCAGCAACCAAGAGCATGTTTAAGAACAGTCAGCTTTCTATCTCAAGTAATGAAACATATTTAAAGATTAAAAAGAAAATTTAACTTTTTGCCTGTTACTGTTATTGATTCCAAATATAAAATTCTCAAGATGAGCGTTCAGTCTGTCTGAAATTTAAAAGGAGAAGTATACATTCCTGAATATTTAACTCTTCTTTAAATTAAATATACTTATAATAATCCAAATTATTAGAATTTGAATTTCTTTCTTAATTTTCATAATTTTTTTACCATGGTATGTATTCATACATTTTAACAAGATCTTTATTTGATTCATGATCAATAGCTGAGTTGAAGAGCCTCATTAATTGTATTCAACATATTATGAAAAAAGTAAAGTGTTAGCCATGTTCAGATATAATTTTTTTATTATATTCAGTTCTGTGTGAAAGCTCAAGTGATGTCTCATTTAATGTAACTTGGATATTCAGAAGATCACCATGTGCCAATGAGTACACAGATCTTAATGAGGTATTCAAGTGAAGAATTATATTTTTTCAAAGGGATTGATTAAAAATATCTTAGAGCCTTTTATTCTACATATTTTTTGTTTAAATAATCTATTAAAAATCGTTAAAGTTTTTTGTTTTGTTTTAAAACAAATGTATTTTATGTCTTTTATTACAGACTGTTGCTGAATACTATCTGCAAAGGCCATTTGTACAGTCTTTAAATTTTCTAAAGACGGAATACCTAAATGGCTCAGGTACATACACCTGTTCAAAGAATAAGCAGTTTACACTTCATGTAAGTTTAAGTGAATGAAATATGATTTTCATATATTGGTCCATAGTTAATTTATTTTATATGTGTATTAATAAAAACTCTCTTAACCCTGATTGTTACAGTGTTGGCTGTTATTCAAAAAAGGCTACTTCTTCTATTATAACATTATCAGGCCAAAGTCTACATAGAACTGTTTAAGGAAACACACATTTTATTCTAAATTAATATCCCCTAGTTAAGCTTCTTCTTTGTTGCAGTCTATCATCCATTCATTGCTAACATTCATCAGAACCTGAGGTTTCTCTGCTCCCATAGTTTTTTAAAATCTTGTAGCAGTTGGATTTAATAACATACACGAGAAATAACCAGTCAAACAATTGTGGCGGCAATGCCTGAATTTCCCATTTACTCTAGCTACTTGAAAAAAAACACATTCAATTACCATACTTTTTAAGATTCACAATTAGTGTTATCTTCTGAGAATTTTATTTTCCATGCATATGGAACACAGCATTACAGCCATACAAACGTATCAAGAGAATTATTATTTTTGCTTTTTATTCCAGCTCCAATTCATTTTTAGTGGCTATTGTAAAATAATTTATTCTGAATTATTACTGTTACATATTAAAATATTTATGCCTTTGTCTTGACCTGTTTCAGATCAAGCCTTATGGTATAAACATTTTTAAATAGTCTGAGATGTAAATTAACCAAGGGTTCTTAAATCTTAGCACTTACTGAACTTAGCCAGAGTGTAGAGTAAAACAAACACATTTTTCAAATCTGACTAACTTCACAGACTTTTTGAGTCTTTACCGTTATTTTTAAGAGATTATATTAACCCTTTCCATGGCAACATATTGTATACCCTGTCCGTCACAACTGGGTGTGGCGCACCTGTACACTTATTATAAAGGGTTTCTGGCGATTCCTGGCAACTGGGTGGGTTACACCCATAGTTTTTTATCATGGAAAATGGTTATCTTTATGTTATTTTCTTTTTTACAATGTGGCATGATTTAGTTGCCTTGTAATCAAACTCCCTTCACATATCTCATTGTTTCTCCCACTGAACCTTTTGTTCTGTACATTAATGAAAAATGAGACAAACAATAGCTGACTGCACCAACAGGGAAAGCTAGAAAGTAAAAGAAAACAAATGGCAAGGGCCTGATGTGACCTAAATGAAAGCTTTTTTGGGCTGCCTACTACACACTCTTCACCTCAACAGCATTTCAGTGGAATTTTTATTCAGCCCTGTTGATGGAAATCCTCTTATTAGGGCAGCATTTTCAATGAAGAGATTCAGCAAACTTCTGATTCATATTGGCTTTGACAACAAGGAGACTAGATCAATCATTTCTGACTCGTGACATCTTTGTTTCCATAAGAGATGTATGAGAAGCATTCCTGAGTAATTTGGCAAGGTACTTTTTTCCTGGAGAGAACATCACAGTAGGTGATCAACTGGTTGGTTTCAGGGGTCAGTGCAGATTTATTCAATATATGTCAAGCGAGCCCGACAAATATGGAATAAAAATCTTCTGCCTGTGAATCATCTTCGAGCTATCCTCTCAGAGGCTGCCCATATCTCAGCACAGAAAATGTAAGTCCCTTGCCTGCAAAGAGAAATGTTGGAATATCCCCAGAGACTGTGATTTTTCTCACAACGGACTTCCATGGAAGTGGCAGCAATTTCAGAACAGACTATTATTTCATTCCCCTACAACAGCGTTTCCCAAACTTTTAAGTTTGAGGGACCGGTGGACACATTTTGAAATTACACCAGGGACCGGTGCCAGATTTATTAATTACATTTTCTTTTTATTTGACCATGAATATTCATGTTGTGCGGGCCGGCAATGTAAGGGCTCACAGACAGGAGCCGGTCCGCGGACCACCATTTGAGAAAAACTTGTAGAACCAATGGCCAAGAAGAGACTTAATCTAGTTGGAACAGTGAAGTGTAACAAGATGTTCCTACCCAAGTGGTTAGACCAAAAGAAGGCTCTGCCAATCAACAAATCTGTGTTTTTGTTCAGACTAGAAACAACCTTGTCAAATACCAGAGCTGGAAGCAGAAAATGTATTGCTTTTGAACACAATACACAATCGTCCAGGTGTGCGTCTTGAGTTAGCTCAAACAGTGCGGTACCTGGGTGTCTACCTAGGGTGTTTTCTGGAGCTGCGCAGGATTAGTCACATCAGGCCCTTCCTAACAATTGATACAACAAAGAGGCTGATGTCTGCATTTGTGCTATCACGCATGGACTATTGCAATGCTCTCATGGTGGGTCCTCCAGCTACGCTCCTGGATAAAATTCAAATAGCACAGAATAATGCGGCTCGCATTGTTCTCCGCAAACGCAAATTCGACCATGCAAAAACACTTCTGAGAGAGTTGCATTGGCTGCCGGTGTGTGCTCGCATAGAGTACAAAATCGCAACTTTGTGCTACCGCTGCTTACATAACCTGGCGCCGTCCTATGTGAAAGAGCTGCTGACGCCTTATGTACCCACTAAAGAGCTCCGCTCATCCGATAGTGGTAAACTCTCGACACCACGTGTTTGCCTTGAGACTTACGGAAAGCGCACTTTCGCATTTGCTGGTCCAACAATTTGGAACGCCCTTCCAGTCGATCTCAGAAACAACCAGACACTGGAGTCCTTTAAAACCGATCTAAAGACACATCTATTTCGCAAATACTTCTGGGATGATTGTCTACCTTATTTTCCAGTTAATGCATAATGGCTGTGTTGCTCTGGGTTGAAATGGCTAGAAAGACTTTGAGATTGTATGGTTGTAATTAGTTTTTGTAGTGTTGCGTTTGTTTTAAATGTGGTTAATTATAGATATGTTATTTGTTGACTTTGTACCGTGCTTCGAGCCTTTGGGGATGAAGCGTGTTTTTGAAATGAACTTTATTATTATTATTATATAGAAAATGAAACTGAATGCAAGAAACCAGAGATTGTGCCATATAACAAATAAAAAATCAAAAGAGGCATATTCGCCATGGACACAAGGTGTTCTCTGTGAAAACAAAAAGTAAAAGATGGCGTTTGGTTGTGTTTATTTAACATTGTTGACTTGAAAGCAAGAGTTGCATTTAAATATAAATATCCGACTTACTCACTGTCTCATGAAGACAACAGACAGTCGATATTGGCGTTGCAGATTTCCTCACCCATTCCCAAGAAGGGTGATTTGTACCGACGCACCAAGATATTGTTGGGCAGAACATCGACAATTTGAAATCATTACAAACGCTTCAAACAGCTGCCCAAACCACTTCAACTTAGCAAGTTTATTAGACATATTTGCTAAGAAGATTCTGTTCTTTTATGTAAAAAAATTGTGCAAGCTGAGCTGCAAAGCCCCTATTTCCATGTGAACGTGCAACTGTTTTGCTTTGAAATGGTTTGTCAAGTTGGAAACATGTTATTATTGTTGGTAGCCCAGTACCCAAATCCATTCAGAATATTTATTTATTTTCAAATTTTAAAATCTATTTCACGGCATGGATTACAGACTCAAATAATCAACAAACAACAACCAATCAAAAATGTTCACATGCCAGTTTAGATGGTTTTTTTCTTCTATTAAAATATGTACGGGTGTGTTATACCCAGTTGCGAGGGACTGAATAAAAAAAAATTAAGCCCCAAAAAATAAGTCACTTTTGCATGCTATACACAATTGCATCCACCAAGGTGCTCCAACTACCTTGTGGATTAGGTCGAGTATGAGCAAGATTATTAAAAGGAGACTCGAGATATCAGCAATCAAAGTCTCTCTCCTGGTGTATAACACCCAGTTGCGGCGGAAAGGGTTAACCACTTACTCCATTTTGATAAATTAATTGAGAAGTCTCTTATAACTTGAACAAATCAAAAGTCGATAAAATCAAGTGTTTAGCCACCAAACCCCAACAAAAAATTAGCCTGTTTATATAAAAGCCCCTTTGTAACTCCTTAATAATAAGAGTAACCTTCATTGGGCAATGTTGAAAAAATGGGGTGTTGTTTATGGCATGATCTAAGCCATAGCATGAATGAGGCATAAAGGTCAGAAAGCCATAACTGACTGAGGTGTAAGGGCGGGAAAGCTGCTACATGACTGAAAGGGTTAATCTGTTTGTATTATTATTTTTTGTTAAAAGCGATATCTTTAATAGATTTTGGTGTTTAAGGTCACTATTATTCTTTGTAGCTTAAAAAAACAATGATCCCCAAATACAATAATTTGCCTTAGTCATAATTTGGTAGCAGTATAACTTTCAATATAAGCAAGACAACAAAACCCACCGATTTATTTATGAATAATTAATTAAAGTTGGTTTCTTTATTTGAATTTATGTTACCATTTTTTACAAAAGTTAAAAATCAAATGTTTGATTTCAGCCTGTCAATGATACAAATCCCCATGAAAAGATTTATCCTCCGGTAAGTGCACATATGTCATTGTGTCAAAAGGTTATTTTTTTGGTACATTTTGTAGAATTAGATGTTTATTTAATTGATGATAAAAAAAAATTTTTTTTTAAAAACCAACAGGAGGGGCTTAAATTATTTGTATTGTTAATTGCTTTTTTATAGCCAACTACAAAATCTCCTAAGCCAGCAGACAGTGCACCGAGTTCAGGTGAGGGAAAAAAACCTGATGCTCCAACCTCTCCAAAAGAGTCTGCTGGTGGTGCCAGGAAGCGCAGGGCAGCTGATGGGGAACAGAAAGAGAAAAAAGAAGAGTTACAAGGATCGGCTGATAAAGATAAGAAGAAGCCAGCTGAAGGAGCAGAAACTAACAGTGAAGGAACTGAGACCCTCAAACAAGAAAATCCAGCTGAAGCAACCAAACAAAACGATAAAGAAACAAATATTGCTAATTCCAAACCTCATCAGGTTAGTGGGTTTTTTAGATATGGGTGTCGTCAGTTGTGTTCACTTTAAACTAAATCCAGAGCAATGCTTTCTCAATATTACAACAAAAACATTTACACATAAAAACATTTAAATATATTGGATTTTTTTTAGATTGATCATGAATCTCAGCAGCTTTTAAAAACCTGGCAAGATGGTTACTTTCTCCTAGTGATTCAGTTTTCACCTTCTGACCCAGAAAAAAAAGAATTGCCAGCAGATTTTGAACTGCAAGGTTAGTTTGTGTTGACATAAAGGCCATGTTCAATATTTACATAATTTAACAAGGAAACTCAAATTTCCAGGCTTTTATATTTGTTTGTGATGTGAAAAATCAATCTTACTGTTATTTGATTTACCACCATTTAGCTAAGGGGAAGTAGGAAGATCAGTATTTTTCTTGGTATAGGTAAAAATAAATATTTTTATCTTCCCCCCCCCCCCCATTTTTATTGTGGTTATCTCCCTTTGTTTTCAGCAAAAGTGAGGATGAGCAATGGTGATAGCTACCTGGCAGCAGTGGATAGACCATTACTCATTGTGAGTTTATCAGCTTAAAAAAAACACACAAATCTTATAATGCCCTCCTAATAATAATAACATGTAAATATCAATATTTTTCAGATCCTTTATAAATTGGATTAATTTATAATTTAAAAAATTTGCCTACATTATCTCTCAAACTCTGGAAAACTTGTATGACTCAAGACTATTATGTATCTTTTATGAACTAGGTTTACTGGCATGTATGTTTGTTATGAAAAGTTGATGATTGTGAGAGGTTCTTGTGAGGGCCAGATGTGGTTGGTACGGAGGGGTTATGCAAGGTCAGATTATGGGGTTAGTTTATGATGTTCAGTTTAGGGTATGCTGTTTGAGTACTGTCGAGAGAGTTTTTACGTATTTACTCGGTAGAGATTAAAGTAGTCTGAAATAAAGGATCGTCATTACCTCAATTGAACGTTGATTATTACCTTAAATATGAACCAACCATGGCTCACATAAGTATGTAGTACAGTAGGACAACATCGCCAAAAACTTAAACCACAATAGTAAGGTTTGAAGACAAAACGTCAAACCAAAAGAAGATTGTAATAGTATCCTTATAAACAACATTTAGTGTCAAAATAGTGAGCAGTTAAATACATTTTTTGTTACTATTGAAAAAAGCCTTTAATTGTACAAAATGTCTTTTTGCTTTTTCATACATTATATTCTATAGTTGGTATTAATAAAATACCAATTATATAAATTTGATTGTCTTACTAGTTTATCTGAGATTTTGTGGTTAAAATTTTATTACTTCTTCAGTTTTATGGCGTAATGGGTCTTGTGTACATTGGCTTTGGGATAATGTGGCTTGTTATGCTAGCATGCAACTGGCGTGATTTGCTGAGAGTTCAGTTCTGGATTGGAGGAGTTATCCTTTTAGGTAGGTAAATTATTGTTGATTTTAAAACAATATGAAAATGTGAATGTTTTATCTTAGAGTACTGACTTGACCTCAAGATATCTGCATCAAAATTGAGTTCAAATACAGTGGAACCTCTCATAACGAGCATAATTCGTTTCAGAATCTTATTCGTTAAGCGAAACACTCGTTAAACGAAACAATTTTTCTCATACAAATCAATGTAAAATACGATAATGCGTTCCATGCTGAAAAAAAAAAAATTTTCAAAAATTTGTATTAACATATATTCAAATAAAATTACTTATGAATTGTTAAGGATTGCAACAACGTGGAATACAATTTAGATTTGAAACAAAAAACGTAAATAAAAATATGAATTTATGACAAATAATTAATCCTTTTTAATTAGAAAACTGTCTAAAGACATTTGTTTTTGCAGACGCTTCAAAATTTGACGAAAATGTGTCACATCATTATCATTGAATACATTTTTAGCAGGAATAGCCACCTCCTTACCTAGGGTGTTGCATCTCAATGTACAATGCAACAGTTTCTCATGCTTTCAGCATTTCTCTTATTGCGCTAGAAGATTGTTGCTCTGCTACTTCCTCCTCCATTAATGAGCTCTCCTCCATAATTTCTTGCTGTGAAACACGATGCAACTCCATAATCTCTTCGGTGGTCAACTCTGGACTGCTCTTTCACAAGCTCTTCAATATCATTTTTTATCCACCTCGAGTCCCATGATATTGGCCAATGGCACAATCTCGTTAACTGTAGACTCCACAGGTACTATTTCAAAATCACATTCAACAACACTCTCTGGCCAGTTTTTTCCAAGCAGAAGTGAGGGAAAAAGGGACTTCCCCCTTTCTGCGTAACTCGTTATGTGAAATGTCGCACGTTAAGGGAGCAACTTCTTCACATTTTTTTTTGCTCATTATGCAAATTACTCGTTATGAGAGTTGCTCGTTGTTTTTTTCTATTTATCAAAATATGAAAAAGTTAAAATTGGTAATCTAAAAATTCATTTACAAGCGAAATAATGAAAATTAATCAAGCTTCCAGACTACATTAATAAAGAATAATAAAAAAATTTTTTTTTTTAATTACAGGCATGCTGGAAAAGGCAGTGTTCTTTGCTGAATATGAAAACATCAACAACACTGGCCAGTCTGTGAAAGGGGCAATTATCTTTGCAGAACTTGTTTCATGTCTAAAAAGATCACTTGCTAGAATGCTGGTTATCATTGTCAGTCTTGGATATGGCATTGTTAAGTAGGTGCCTCTAATTTATTTTTGCATTCACCAGCTAAGCTCCTTGAAGTTCATCTTTATTACGGCATTTTAAGTTTTATATTAAATTCTAATTATAGCCCACTACCGCCAAACAATTGTGATGGCAAAGCGTGACCTTTAAGTTACTTGATAAAACCCGCATTCAAGTAATTCACTTTATAAGAATCCCAGTTAGTGTTAACCTGCCACCCCCAAGGTATTTTACAGCACCCTTGGTAATACCCATGAACTATATTAATATTCTTAAGTCCCAGCCTCTTATGTCACTGATTTATTCAACTAAAACGAAAGAAAAAATCATGCACTTAACACACTGGCAATATTTTTAAGATTCTCATGATGGGAAGTTTTTAGGAATTTTATTTTGCACTCTATTGAACTCATCATTATACCACACATTCCTAGAGAATTATATTGACTATTATGATTGATACATCATTATGGTTGCAAGAATTAATGCATTTCTTTTCCTATTTAGACCAAGGCTTGGCCAAACTTTTCACAAAGTTTTAATTGTTGGTGTGGTGTTTTTCATTCTTGCTTCGATTGAAGGCTGCATGAGGGCACTTGCGGTAGGTTTAAAAAATGCATTAAAAATATAGGGATTTGTCCCCCACCATTCACACACAAAATAATTATTGAATAAATAAACCTTATTTTGTGTTTGACTATGAGAAGGATCATAAACACTTGGAACTTTATAACATTAATGGATGATTTATTTTAACAAAGTTTATAATGATAAGATGAAAAAAATGGAATCTGTTAAAATATGGTGGTGAAGTTATTTAATAAAAGCAATGGAAAAATAAAACATTAGGTTACAGGAGTATAGTGTGCAATCATCTATGGGGCTGAGTCACAGGACATAAGTATTTAAAAGGGTAAGGGCATTTTTATTTTTAATAGTTTTGTAATGAGAGTTATATACCTTGGCTGATAAAAGCCATTTAATTATTAGCAGTATAATAAGTGACTTAGATAATCCTAAATACTCAAGGGATTAATTTATTAAAAATGAATAATTGTTGGTACACAAGTTGAGTTTAAATTAAATGTAATTAAAAATTAATGCTTCTGCTTCCAGGAAAAAGCTGATCAATCCAAGCAGCAGCTGTTGCCTGGTGTCCCCTTGGCTGTAACTGATGCTATTATTTGCTGGTGGATATCCTTTAAATTTCTTGATTTTTATGCATAAAGTTCTTAATTTTTAAAATATTTTTTTTTAATGACCTTATGGATTGCTTTATTTTTTGGTACATTATTTTTGTTTAAAAATATGAGAGGGGCTTTCACTGTCATTATTAATTTGATTTTTTAAAATAAATATTTATTGGATGGAATCCCTGACAAAGTCCTTGACTGCATCTCACATATTTTCGTCACTGCTGCAAACAACTCGGACTTTGCGCCTGAGAAGAAATATTGTGAAGCTGTCACTATATCGACATTTCACAAACACACTCATATTTTCTGTCATAGGTAATTAATATTCTCACATATATTAATATATAAGTAATTAATATATAAGTACAAATAACACGTGTCCTTTTATGCACATTTTGTTTGTACATTTTTCCTAATATTCTTTTTAAGAATATAAAATTTACTTATATTGTGTTAGTTAACAACTCAGAATTTGATTTATGCTATGCACTTTTATTTATTCTTTAACTTTAATTGTTAGCTTACCAAATATTTTGACTGCTGTTAAGAATTTTTAACTTTTAAAAAAAAAAAAATTAAAATTGTCTACCATACAAAATATTTCATTCCAGCATCTGTAGCATACATGATTTGGTTTTTAACCCAGCACAGATTTAAAGAGTGTCTCTCCGTAAGTTAACAATTTCAATATACTGGTATTACTTTTAACTACTAGGTATTATGGATTTCTTTGTGTGAAATATCTTCAATACATTTGCCACTTTTGATTTAATGCAGTTTGAATTCTAATTCTCATATAGCTGTTACTGACAACCTTTTGGGCTTCCCCTATTTCTTCCTTAGGATTGGAAAGAACTGTGGATGGATGATGCTTATTGGCATCTTCTCTTTTCTGTTCTACTCTTCGTCATCATGATCCTTTGGCGGCCAACAGTAAATAATCAGAGGTATGCATGTTGTATATAAGCCAATATTATTTTTTAATTTTAAAAAAAATCAAACAAAAATTTTGGACAATGTTCCATTGCTTTTATTTGAAGAAACATCAATAAATTTAATTAGAAAAAAAAAATAATTATCAGCCCCATCCTTCCTGTTGCATCTTGCACATTATCTATCTGAAGCCTTTATACATTCATACAAATCAGTTAACCCATGTCTCCAAATCCTATAACAATTTTGTATAAAGTTTAGGAGAGTTGCTCAATTTGTCAGACTCGCTCTCTCATCCTGGTCCATTTGATCCCATGGCAAGACTTGATCAAGACGACTGGAAACAGAGTAGGCTCCAGTAGATGTCCAGCGGTATTTCCTGTGTCTCTATGCATTTCATGTCGCAGGAATTTTCGTGTCAATGTAATGTAATACGACCTACAGGACTCAATCTCCTGGTTTGATTTCAGGGTTTGCCTTCTCTTAGATGAGTTGTCATCCAAGGTTAATGAGTCCAATCCACCCTGGGTGCTGGTGTTGTTTTTGCATGTCTCAGCTTTTACTGGGGATTGAACTCCTGCCTGCAAGCTTGGGATTGACTCAGTTTCGACCACTCTGCCACCCACCACCATGGGCAATCAAATCGGTTATAAAGAAAGTTTGCTATCTGTGGTGAATAGAACCTTGTCTGAGTAGGTCCTCTCCGTGTGGCCATAGAAACAATGTAAATAGTCTAGAACTCTGTTGCTGTCTCATAGCCCCTACAAGGCTGATGGGTAGTTAACCAGTATCAAGTCAAAAAATCACAAGACGGTTAAGATTATCAGTATTATTTAATTGTTAATATACTGGATTTTATGAACACAGTCCACAACAATGATCACAATAAATGACGTTCAAAGTAGAAAAGAACAGTATCTCCTGATCACAACACGAAGATGCACTCCAACTCTTGATTAAAAACAATGAAAAGAACAGTATCTCCTGATCACAACACGAAGATGCACTCCAACTCTTGATTGAAAAGAACAGTATCTCCTGATCACAACACGAAGATGCACTCCAACTCTTGATTAAAAACAATGAAAAGAACAGTATCTCCTGATCACAACACGAAGATGCACTCCAACTCTTGATTAAAAACAATGAAAAGAACAGTATCTCCTGATCACAACACGAAGATGCACTCCAACTCTTGATTAAAAACAATGTCTCCTTGTCGCTTACCAAATGTACACACCTTTTTTTCCCACGTGGTTTTCTCCAACCTACCGCCTCTATCACACATCACACGTGACTGAATAAAATTCATGGGATATAAGGGGAAATAACTAAAGAAAAAAACACCATCGCTCACTCACACAACATCACAACCAGACACAGAACTACATCAAGTGATCTGACTGACTCTATCAACCTAAAATAAGGAAATATTTCTTGAGTGTTTGACTTTCTAATTCTTTCAGATATGCCTTCTCTCCCTTGCTTGATGCAGCTGAGGATGATATTGATGATGACACTGTGCTCAGTGAAGCCTATGGTAACGGACTTTAAGAAATAATATTGTGTGTGTTTGTATAGTATTTTTGTGAGTTGGCTTGGGGAGACTTATAAAGGATTAGACTTGTTTTGAGTCAAATTTTTTGTCACCCAAAGCAGCTGTTAAATTTCTACATATTTGTATTATTATAATTTGTTTAAAAAAAACTTAATTATTTTCACTATATCTCTAAATTTCAAACTCCTAAGTTAATAGTGTTACGAATTCTTCATTAGCTTCACTTGTTCAGAAAATGCATATAAAAAATCTCTAAAATTAATTAGATTATCGGGGATGAGATGTCATCATTTACCTTTGTCTTTAATTGAAAATTCTCAGAGGGCATGAAAATGCGCACATCCTCTAAGTCTCAACAGCGAAACGGATCCACGAAAGGCAATGAAGAACAGAAGAATGTAAGTTCCAAAGGCATTGCTGAAATAATTAAAAATGATATCTAATGTATTCAGTTATTTCTTTAGTTAATTATAAATGTTCACTCTAAGGGCAGATTGGCTCTATAAAAACTTCTTGGAAGTGTCAGAATAAATACCTCTGTCTAAAAAATTGGACAAAATTTAAATAATAATGCCATTACAGTGGCAAGAGTATTCGTACACATTTGCTGTATGTCTCTTTATGACAGAAAATGCCCTTCTGGATATTTGAGATCCTATAACTTTTTGAACCCTTAGCTCCTGGTTCCTGGAAAACAATTACACAGACACACAAGCAAACAAATTCCAGGATTATGAAAGTATATAAAATAGAAATGGTTACCTTTATGCGCCTGTTTCTCAGGAAAACCAAGGCTAGGACCACGGATAGCCTTGTTTAGACCTTGTTAATATCCAAAACACTAGTTGAAGTCAATTGATATTCACGATCAATGTCTATTTATTATAATCCTTTTTTAAAATATTACTAAAATCCTTTGAATTATTTATATTATCATCAACCTGCTCTGGTTTTAGTCATTTATCTCCACCTCTGTACAGTGAAAAAAAAAACCAGGTCCAAAACATAAAAACAATGCATCCATGTCCGCACCCATGACATTAATCTTTCGCAAATCATTGGGTAAACCCTGACCTCAGTATTCACAACACATTTTTATATTCAGACTTTTGATATAGGTTGAGGTATGGAAGACTGAGATATAGTTCCTGCGGGGTATGGATCTTTAACAAACAGACCAATAAAGCAGGATCACAAATTCAAAGGGTTAACAACCCTAAATATTATGGGCGTTTTATTAATTACCCAAAACTTGCTTAAACTGTCTTTGGTAATATGGCATCAGTTTAATTATTTGAAATGATCAACATTTTGATGAAAATAAATTCATTATTTTAAAAAATGTATTGTCATTTCCTCATTTGAGCAATAGCTGTCATTTCAAACGTTATTATTGAGAATTTCTGATGCTCAGCAGACCTAATAATAACGGAAATGTTACAGAAAATTTTGTTAAAAATGCTTCTGTTAAAATGGTTGCACAACTTTCAATATGATAAGGTCTAACTTGGTTCTGTTCTGTATACAGGAAGATGACTTGCGATGGGTAGAGGATAACATTCCAGCCTCTTTTGCTGATAAGTATGTGGATGTGTCATGTCTTAGAAAAATATTTTATCTAAACTTTTTTTCTTAAATGCTTGTAATCAAATGGATCTGCTAATAGAGGAATGCCAAGCCTGCAAGTAAAAAAAGTATTCTACAACCATTTAAGTACCCTATATACTCACATATAGATTGCACCCATGGATAGGTCGCATGCATAGTTTTGGTCCGTTAAAGTCGGCATTTGCAGTTGACCCGCAAATAGGTTGCACCTTTAGTTTGGGGAGTTACATGGCCCTTTTTAAAATATAAATATAACTAATATTTGTTAAGCAGACATCACAAAAATGTTTCCATAACAACTTGGAAACTGAAACGCGAGCATAAAAAATATGGGCTCTTTAATAAGCATAAACAACTGATTGCCCTCTGCCTGAGCAGAAGGAAGAGTGATTGTCTGACTCATCGTATAAATGACTACTCCACAATGAATAACAAAATTGATGTTGAATGGATAGGTCGCACCCCTGAGTTTTATTGAAATTTTGGTTACAAGTGTAACCTATATGTGAGTAGTGTGGAGAGTTCGGACCACGACAGCGCCTGACTTAATCCGTCTGACGTAATCCGTTTGACCACCCAAGCTTGTGGAGAGTCGGACCGCGCCTGACGTAATCCGTCTGACCGAAGGATCAAGCTTGTGGAGCACGACGGACCCAAGGATCAAACGCCTGACCAATTACGGCCGTCTGACACCAGACACGACCATCCATCTGACCAGGGCATTTACCTGGGACGTCTAGACCGACAATTGAGAAAAAGGGGGCGGGGTATAATCTGGACTGGGAGAGGAACTATGGGACGGGGTATAAATAGGGAAGAAGGCGGACGGACTAGGTTCTGGAGAGCAGGGAGAAAGGAGAGTTGGAAGATGAGTGATAGAGTAAGCAAGTGATAGATCAAATAAAGAACACGAGTTTAATGATCCAATGTATCACCGGAGTTGTTTACTTATTGAGCACCAGATTTAGATGAAGTGTGTCAGATAGTAAGCAAGGTCCCTTACAGTATATAGGTGAATGTGGTTATCATGGAAATTTATTAAATGGTATAATGTATCAGAGCAACTGACTTCATTTCAATGTAGACTTTTTCGAAGAAAAAAATAATAAATGCAAAAATAATTTACATTGTTATACAATTTTTCAGTGTACAGTAAGTATTCTCTACAAATTCCTACGTTGGAAAATTAATCTTTATTTATTCTATTAAACGTGCACATAGTAGGAAGCTTTTAGAGAAATATTAGAATATGATTAAATGCATTACCACCTTATGTATTCCAATCTTATTTATTCCAGAGTACTGCCAGCCCTTGATTCAGATGAAGAAATTATGAACACTAAATTTGAAGTGTCAAAAATGGAGTGAAACTTGTAAAGCTGTGCATTGGTCATATTTGAGTTGTGAAGATCTTGCCACTGACTTTCGCATCATTTGGGTAAATAATGTGGAGATCCTTGACGACAAAAGCCCCTTAATAATAGTATTCATCATTCCATGTCATCATCAAAGCCTGTCAGGGCTATGTACGGTTCATGCTATGTATGGTTCAATTTGTGACTGGGGCCAGTCACAGTTGAATTTGATGGGTGGCCTTGATTATATACCTTTGAGGCCACTGAAACACGACGTTGAAGCATAAGTTAACTTTTGAAATTATTTTTTATCTTTTTATGCATATAAATATAATAGCATTTCTTTAAACATGTCTAACATGTTCCATATAATTACCCCTTACCAAGTCCTTTTGTTAAATACTTTTCATTATTAGTAAATTAAATAAAGGGAAACTTTTGAAACAGCCACAGAAAGTTACACTGATGAGTGAGTTTAAATAATGCATGACCATGAAGGTTTTTAAAAGTATGCATTGTATTTTTGTTAAATTACATTTTAAACATTTATATTGCAGGTGTGATTTTTTAAGGTTGTATTAACTATGATGAGAAGTACTCTCTCCAATTAGTCAAAATTCTTCCCAAAAATAAAAAAATACATGCATTTTCACTACATCAATGAAATAGAGGAAAAACTGTAACTGGAAAAAATGTAACAGAAATTTCCCATATAAAAGTCATCAGTCTTAATAAAGCCACACTATTTCAAATAAATTATTTTTTGTTGCTTTTACAAAATGCAATTGATAAAATTTTGCCTGGACCTAAAAGCTCTGAGAATGATATGCATATACTTGGTATTAAGTTTTGTCAATTCTCAAACATTTTAATTTGTTTTATTATTTATATATTTCATTCGTATTTTAAATTGCAAATAAATCCTTTTTATTGTTTAAAGACTTATGATTGGCTAGTGCACATAATGTAAGCTTTGACTGCTGTGGAGAATTTTATTATGCTCTAACTATTGGATTATTGAAAGGTCTTAAATTGTTTTTGATCTTTCTTTAAAAAAAATTATGGGCTTAAAAAAAAATAACTTGAATTTAACAATTGGAAAGCTAATTTAAGCATTGTAAATACATTGGCAATAGTTTATTTTATGTTCTCTTTAATAAATCTAACTTTACCATGCCATTTGTTTTATATTTTTATTGAATGTCTTCTGTGGTCTTGACTGGAGAATGTAAGTTGATCATATTTATTGAAGATGAAATCTCAATTTAACCTCTACCCAAGTTATATTCCTATTAAAAAATCCATATTTTCCTAAATATTTGCTTGTTTTGTGTTTTCTTAACTAAAAATAACCCTATCAACTCAGAACAGTGGTTTTCAAACAGGTGTTGTGTAGCACAAGATGGAGATATAGAGGATGAAAAAAGATATTTAAAAAAAATGTTTCTATGAGGGCATAGTGAACATCGAAATCTCATCTTTTAACATTAATTTACTCACTAACAAAGTTATTATGTTTCTTAACAATTCTACGGTACCATTATGTTAGAGAATTTCAGTATATAGGGTTGCAAGATAATAAGTTTTGAAAACCCCTGACTCGGGTTGATAGTACTGATACCCGTGTGAAGTGGTTGCATGCTTTTTTCAAATTTTTTTTTCAAACATCAATTGATAAGAACTGCCACAATTTTTTAATTGATTATTTTTTTCTTGTATTTAACTTCCTATACTCTGCTCCCATTGATTGCTTTCATTGAAATATAACCTTTACCTTTTGGATCATGATATTAATAATATGTACTTATTGTTTGATATGAATTCGATGATTGAAGTCAAGATTAAACTGATGTGGGTTAGCATATTTCAACATTTTCTTGTCTCTTGCTTCTCTGGGTGTCATTCTTTGTTTTAGTTTTTATTACACAAAAAATGCAACCACTACCAACCCAACTAAGTTACTATTATTTTTCTCGAAGTAGGCAATTCATGGTTCACATTATTTATCAAAGTAAGGACTCCATGGTTCACATTATTTATCACTAGTGTCTTAAAACTTGTGAAGCATTTTGAAAACAATTTAAAATGACGTTAGGTGTGGTATGCCATGAAAAACTAAATCATTTATTTAAAAAAAAGAGGCTTTTAATTTGCTAACAATATATGTTAAGTTTTAATTATGGCTACACAAATAAAAATTTAAATGATTCAGCAAATGCCTTCATCAGCACAGCAAAAAACATTAACATAAGCATAATTTAAATTATGTGTGTATATATATATCCTACCTATACCTAAATAATTTTAAGTATAAGTAGGCTATATCAGACCTGTTTACCCTCAAACTCTTCAAATCGTACAATATCATCACAAAATTGTTTAAAAAATCTTAATTGTAAAAAAAATAAACATACGGTATAAACATGTATACACCTTAAAATCGTACATTGTACGCCAAAATCGTAAGAGTAAACAGATCTGCTATATATATTTTAAATAAATTTAATATATACATGTATGAATGTTTTCTGTTGTACTGATGAAGGCATTTGCTGAAATGATTAAATTTGTATTTTGTGTAACCATATTTAAAGCTTAACAAACATTGTTTTATTTACACAACTTGTTAGTGTCTCATTAATTTAGTTAAAAGCTTTATCACAGTCCAACAATTTTAATTTTAAGGATCTCTCAGTCATTTCGAGTGTGTATCACTTCTGGAATTATTTTTTTTCGAATGCCTAATCCAGTGGTCGGCAAATCGCGGCTCGGACAGTTGGCCACAAATCGGTTTTGACTACGAAAAAAGACGGTTCTTGACAGGTTCTTGAAAGGAAATTTGACTCTAAAAAAAATGTTTAATCGTCCTGCTGCTGATTTTCAGCTCTCTTGACTAATGAGTCTGCCGACCACTGACCTAACCTATTAACTCTTTCTCTTACATAATACAATAAATGATTAGTAATTTTTATTTTTCAAATGTTAATTGTCAAATTATATTCATATCTTAAAATAAAAAACATGTGCACCCTTTTCAAATGTCCAATATTCTGTGATTCATGAATGCTTAGCTTTTCATACTGGTTCATGTATATATGCATTTTCTTTGCAATGCCTGTAAAATATATGTTCAATATTCTGAAAAAGAATCTTATTTTAGTTTTATCTGATAATTTCAAGCAAGATGTATCAGACAAAAATTAAATTTTAAATTTGACCATTAAAAAATAAAATATTTACATAATTCAACCTAAAGAAATGTTAAACACAGCATTTTAAAATATCTTTTTACTTTTTGAAACTTTCAACATAATGGTGATGGTAGCTATTCAATAATCTAATACTCTTTAGCTTGTATTGTATTTTTTTTCCAGCTGCAAACTTTCAACTGCACGAGTAAAAAAAAAAAGATGACAAAATACTTAATTTTAGATCAGAAAATATTCACTACTCATAGCAAATAAAATCATAACCGAAAAATATTTGTAGTTCGGGTAATTTGCAGGGAAATATTACCATAAAGCATTTCTAATTTAAGGGTTTTAAAACTGACTTGTACAAATTAATATATATTTCCAATAGCATAGAACTTGATAAGCATAACCCTTTGGCTAGTTTAGTTACCTAGGAATACCACAATGAGGGGGGGGGGGATCTTGTTTCATATTGGTATGCTTTAAAAGTTGACCTCCTATGGCATGCACCAATTTGCCCCTACTAAAAAGTGGAATGTGAGTAAAACGACATAGGAAAAGGGGTACGTTAAATGAAATGAGCAATGGATATTATACGTTATTATAACTGAATTAACAATTATGCATATTGAAATGTTTTTCTTTCTCCTTTCATTTGCCATTTTAAAGCAAAGACAAGTCTTCTACTTCACATGGAAATATTTCACACTCATTCATAGGTTACATTTTTGGCATTGTATTCATACCACTACTGTACTTGGAGAATGTTAGCTTCATTAAAGAGAATTCTTCCTCCATATCACTGAGCAGTTTCCCCTATTGATGTGTATGCAGCTCAGTTGAGCTGATTACTGCATATTATTAGTTTTCAACTTTGTTTGTTTGTTGTTTTTTTTTTCCATTTTAATAATTTAAAAAGGGAAGTCACATGTCCTGCATGACCTTTTATTATTCAATACTAGTTCAACAAAAATATTATGCAGGCTTATATTTTAATTTTAAGCAAAGTTTATTTCAAATGCATACTCATTTTCGTGTTTTGGTTCAAATCCAGTATGGTATGCTTAGTTGACATGTGGAAACATAATTTATGATATGGACATTAAATAAAATTAAAATAAATACCTGTTTTGTCTTCCAATTATATATAGAAATGAAATAAGCTGGAGGGGGGTGGGTTAAGTAATAAGTAATATTATGATAAATATATTCTTTTTTTTCTCTTAAAAGAAATCTTTCCAACCCCTCCCTCCTCTCTCTCTCTCTCTCTCTCTCTCCCCCCCCCCCCCATAAAAAGCCTAATTGCACTCAGTGACTTGGCACTCATCTGCAGGCTTATGTATCTAACTACCCCACCACACTCAATGTAGCTTGATAGACCTCTGATGGAAATGTTTAAGAAATGTATGTGTAATACAATAACAATGTGGTTGTTCTTATTATTATTAGCTTTACTTGATCATAGTCTTTGTAATGCTTGATATATTTGATCAGATGTGCATGTGATTGACTGAGACGCAGTGTACAGAGAAACATTGTGATGCACAGGGATTTAATGTTTTTTGTTTTGTTTTGGGATGTATAAACTTTGATAAACTATGGCAAGTGAATCCATTCTTTGTTTTTATTTTTATAACTGTTTGTTTCACAGTCTGAACATGAAGAATTGTACTTTAACATATGAACATTGTTATTTTACTAGTAATTCTTATAACTAATAGTTAGGGTGTGTGGGGGGGGGGGGTGGATGGCTGTCAAAAAGAATGTGTCATTCCATACTTGTGGAATGGACCTCAATGCCCAGGCTAAGCCAGACAAACAGCTGGTGGTCTGGAGTTCAATCCCCACCAAGCACCCCGGGTGGATGGGACTCGTTAGCCTTGGACGGCACCCCATCTAAGAGAGGGCATTTGAATTTAAACCAGGAGCCATAATGATCAATAAATTGATCGTGGGCACTCAAATGTAAGAAGAAGAAGAAAAATAAAAGTGACAATCCCCTTCCCCCCAAATATAAAAATTTAGTATTGGTTTCTTTTCCCATACAAATTGTTTGTTACCCGAAGAAGAAGGCAGACTGTGGGAATTTATTCCCCACTCATAACTCAGATTGGAAGCAGCTGCAGCCCCCTTCCCCCCAAACTGTGTAGACGCCACTGGCATTTAGTCACGGTTCACCACTGCAGTGCCCCTGGCATTTTGTCACGATTCACTACTGCAGCGCCCCTGGCATTTAGTCACGGTTCACCACTGCAGCTCCCCTGGCATTTAGTCATGGTTCACCAGTGCAGTTCTCCTGGCATTTTGTCACGATTCACCACTGCAGCGCACCTGGAATTTAGTCACGGTTCACCTCTGCAGCTCCCCTGGAATTTAGTCACGGTTCACCACACCAGCGCCCCGGACATTTATTCATGGTTCACCACTGCAGCTCCCCTGGCATTTAGTCACGGTTCACCACTGCTGTGCCCCCTGGCATTTAGTCACGGTTCACCACTGCAGTGCCCTTGGTAGTGAGTCACGGTTCACCACTGCAGTGCCCCTGGTATTGAGTCACGGTTCACCACTGCAGTTCTTGTATTCCTTTTTGAGGTTTCATGACTTCTGCATATGAGATCTTTTGCATCCCTTCAGCGTTGTGCCCATGTGTCCATCACCATGATCTATAGGCCTGCTTTAAGAAATATGGGATCATCTTGTCTAGCACCATGATCTAAAGGCCTAATATATCCAGTGTGGGATCATCTTGTCTAGCACAATGATCTAAAGGTCTAATATATCCAGTGTGGGATCATCTTGTCTAGCACAATGATCTATAGGTCTAATATATCCAGTGTGGGATCATCTTGTCTAGCACAATGATCTATAGGTCTAATATATCCAGTGTGGGATCATCTTGTCTAGCACCATGATCTAAAGGTCTAATATATCCAGTGTGGGATCATCTTGTCTAGCACAATGATCTATAGGTCTAATATATCCAGTGGGGGATCTTGTCTAGCACCATGATCTATAGGCCTAATATATCCAGTGTGGGATCATCTTGTCTAGCACAATGATCTATAGGCCTAATATATCCAGTGTGGGATCATCTTGTCTAGCACCATGATCTATAGGCCTAATATATCCAGTGGGGGATCATCTTGTCTAGCACAATGATCTATAGGCCTAATATATCCAGTGTGGGATCATCTTGTCTAGCACAATGATCTATAGGCCTAATATATCCAGTGTGGGATCATCTTGTCTAGCACCATGATCTAAAGGCCTAATATATCCAGTGGGGGATCTTAGTAGTGTAGTAGGGTCAAATCAAGGCACAAAATGGCGGAGGTTTGACGGAGGTTCTCCGCCAAGGGGCATAACCCGATAATGACTGCCTTATAAAAGTGACCTCCCTTTGTTGTCCGAGCGTAATTATAGTTGTATTGTGTAATTATATTAATTATATTGTATTGTTGTGTATGCTTAACTTTGTAATTAGAGTTGTATTGTTGTACAATGGTATATTTGATTAATGACGACATCAATTACGACATCAAAGTAGATAACAAAAGAGGGTTTTTTATATATTACTTTTATTCATATTTTATGACAAGTGCATGATTCAACAGAATCATGATTGATTCAACAGAATCACAATTTTATTGCATAATTTTAATATAAGTGGTTCTCAAATTTCTATTGAGTGGTTCTCATTTTCTCTAATGAGTGGTTCTCATAGTGTTTTGGGTATATTTTTTCTTGTATTTTAATTAGTTTTCATGTCTATTTTAAGTGATTCTCAAAGTATGGGGGTCATTTTTTGTTATTTTAAGTGATTCTCAAAGTATGGGGGTCATTTTTTGTTGCATTTTAATAGTTTTTCTTATATTTTTAATTAGTTTTCTTGTATATTTAAAGGGTCAAGGGCGGGTCAGGGTCGATTTTCTAATAAGTGGTTCTCATTAGGTGTGAATCATAACGAGTTTTCTTCTCGTAATGGAATAATGCGGTTGTAACAGGATAACTTTATTGAATTTTATTGATGAGTAATCAAATATTTCTCATTTTCAGGGGGTTCTCATAGTGTTTTGGGTATATTTTTTCTTGTATTTTAATTAGTTTTCTTGTCTATTTTAAGTGATTCTCAAAGTATGGGGGTCATTTTTGGTTACATTTTAGTAGGTTTTCTTATATTTTTAATTAGTTTTCTTGTATATTTTAAGTGGTAATCACGATGTCGGGGTTGATTTTCTAATAAGTGGTTCTCATTAGGTGTGACTCATAACGAGTTTTCTTCTAGTTATGGAATAATTCTATTGTAACAGGATAACTTTATTGAATTTTATTGATGGGTAATCAAATATTTCTCATTGTCAAGGTGTTCTCAAAGTGTTTTGGGTATATTTTCTTGTATTTTAATTAGTTTTATTGTCTATTGTATATGGTTTGGTAGGCAGGACAGGTGGTTTTAAGCTTCTTCTTGTCAATTTTGAGGACCAACTTGGCTCATAGTTAGGGTAATTTTAGTGTTTTGTTTAAATTTTTAGGCTTAGTGAGTTATGTTTTGTGCGCATGACAGATGTTTTAAGTTTCTTCTTGTCAATTTTGAAGGTCGAGTAGGGTCCTAATTAGCGTTTTTTGTAGTGTATTGTTTAACTTTTTAGTATAGGGGGTTATGTTTTTAATGGGTGTTCTTAATAAGACGAGAACCATAGAGTTATATTTTTCCATAGACTTTACAAACCAAGGACCCGGTCTACACGGGATGAGTAACCGACCAACGGGCGCGAAGCGCGAAACATACCATGGAACAAAACATCACCTGGACGAGTCGTGACCAGTGAGGGGGGCGGGCATGGTGTGGAAAAATTAATCGAGCCACCTGTAGGTAAGCGGGGAGGAGGTGGAATGTACGCGCATACCAACGTTATTCAGGATGGGGGTGGGGGGATCTTTATTTTGAACGGTCTTTCAGTCTCTTTGTAATATTTTTAACCACTTTTCAAAATCGCTATTATTAGACATAAGGAGGATCTTATCGAGTGGATCTCAAAATATGTGGGGGTCGATTTTCTAAGGAGTGGTTCTCAAAATATGTGGGCATTTTAGCAGGTTTCTTATATTTTTAATTAGTTTTCTTGTATATTTAAAGGGTCAAGGGCGGGTCAGGGTTGATTTTCTAATAAGTGGTTCTCATTAGGTGTGA